ACCAGCCAGGTGAGGATCCTTGTCCTCGGCCAAAAACATTCATCCTGCTGTCTCTCACAAGTCTGCTGTGTGACCAATTGCATAACTTTATATGTAAACACTGTCTTTCCTGTGTTTTGGTCATACATTTATGCACGTGCCCGTCTCCTCCGCTTTAGCATATCTGGTGAAACTCCCAAATCCAAAGACCCGCCCTGGATGGCACTTGTCCAATCCCAGAAGAAGAAGCCAGCTCCCCCCCCTCCCCCTGGCACAGCCCCGCCCCCACGCCCCGGCTCCATGCCTTCCATAGGTGGGCCAGGGTCCAGGCCAGCCTCTCCCCCACATTCCAGCAATCCCTTCGAGGATGATGATGATGCTGCGGAGGCAGAGGGGGAGGAGCAAGCGGAGCTGCCCGGCAGCTCGGCACCTCCCCCGGCGGTGGTCCACCACCCCTGGTATGGGATCATGGCGGCTGAGGGGGGCCACTCCAGCGGTCCCGCTAGCACGGACGTCACCCCTAACCAAACTCCCAGCCAAAGCCCAGGCAGCCAGAGGGTTAAGAAAAGGCTGGCCCCCAGAGTTCCACAGCCCTTCCCTACAGGTCCGTGTCCCCCCCCCTGTTCCCTAGAACAGCCTTTGATCCCCATGTTATGAATTTAGTTGGATGTATCAGTGCAGAAACAGAAATAGAATAGAAAACAAAAGCTTACAGATTTAGCTTTGGCGCCATACTGTATGAATTCTGGATTTGTGGATATGTGTTTACATGGGTGTCTCTCTCTCTCTCCCTTCGCCATTGCCTTGTCTTCATATTCTATGCACTCTTGCATTCTTTGTCCTTCCTCGTTCGGCTGCTCTGTCTCTCCAGCTCTCCCTCCCTCTGATCCCAGCACTCCCTCTCCATCCCCGGCTCTCAGCACGGAGTCTCTCTCCTCCTCCTCAGACCACAGCTCTTCCAGGGCCCTCCCAGAGGGCGTGGCCGCCGGCCAGGACCCCCCCTTCACTAAGAGCGTCTCGGAACCCTCCATCAGCGGACCCGCCCTTGCCGCTGCTGGCCAGAAATCAAGACCCTCCTCAAGTCCCCCCCCACCACCTGTGCCGACGAATACCAGCTCAGCTCCTGCCACGCCGCAGACTAACCGGAGTGCGGGGATGCGGACTCCCCGCCCCCCACCTCCCAGACCACCGACGACACCCAGTCCGCTTGCGAAAGTGACCCTGCCGCCTCCCACTCCCCAGGGGAAGGTATGAGAGGCCGCGACAGGTCATTTCTCAAAGGGCATGTGTGACATGTGCCGTTTCCATGGAAACCAGGCCAGAATTAAGGGGAATGGCCATTTACCAAAGTTGCTGTGTACCGCTGCATGGTAGGTAGATAGATTAGATTGGTAGAAAGAAAGAAAGAAAGAAAGGAAGAAAGAAAGAAAGAAAGAAAGAGAGAAAAAGAAAGTACAGAACAGTTTTGACAGTTTCAGGCTCTAGAGACTGGTTAGAGGAACTGAGCAGGAGCAGACTTGTCAGGGTAACCCTTTGTGGTTCACCTTTGTCCCTTAAACAGTTTCATAGAAACCACATTCATCATCAGAACCAGCCAGACAGATGTTGGGTCTTCAGGCTTTGAAGTGTTAAGGCTCACCTTGGGTTGCCATCTTTTTTGGTTAGCGTACCTGCAAAGAGAACCCCTTCGACCGGAAGGCCAGCCCCCCGTCTAAGCCCACAGCCCGGCCCCCCAGGGGACCCCGGCCCGCCCGCCCCCCAGCCCCCGGACACGGCTTCCCCCTCATCAAAAGGAAGGTACATTTGAGAAGCTCTTCGCTCAGCGGGCCTGTCATGGTCAGCATGCCTGTCGGTTTGGCAGCTGGACTAATCCCTACGGAATGCGCCCCCACTCACGGCCCCGGGGGGGTCTGACCGGGAGCCCTGTGACACAGAGCTCCTCTCCCTCCTCCCTCCCTGTTCAGGTTCAGTCGGACCAGTACATCCCAGTAGAGGACATTCACGTGGAGATGGGTGAACTGGAACGGCGCCTGGATGAGCTGGAACACAGGGGGGTGGAGCTGGAACAGAGACTGAGAGAGTGCCAGAGTGGTGAGGGGGGGGGGGCTGGGGGACGCATCCTAAAAATAGCACCAGTGTGCAACTGTGCTCCATTATTTACACATGTAGCTGCTTCAGATAGCTAGAGGCTTCGGCTAACTAACTTCAGAAGATGTTTCTTAAGCTCTGAGGGCACCAGTCAGTCCTACAGAAAGGTGGCCTCCGTCAGGCTTCACCCTGAAGCTGTCAGTGGCATCATGGGCTCAGATGAGTCGCAGTCTGTATCTGAGCTAGCTTCCCGTTGCAGATGAGGAGGAGGAGCGCCTCCTGGTGGACTGGTTCACGCTGATCCATGACAAACACATGCTTGTTCGGAGGGAGGTCGAGCTCGTCTACACGTGAGAGCTCCTTCGCCTGCTTCCGGTTTTGTTTAAGTTTAAACTGTTAAAATACAAACCGGCGGAGAGGAAACGTACAAGTGTGTATGATTTTTATTTATTTTTTTTTGCATATTTGCGTATTTCCAGGGCCAAACAGCAAAATTTGGAAGAGAGACAAGCGGATGTAGAATATGAGCTCCGGTGTCTCCTCAATAAACCCGGTAAGCTGGTGTCACATGAGTAACTGCTGTGGTGGCGTTGGCCACGCCCCCTTTTGTGATGCAGGTGAGGGGTGTGTCTGACCACGCCCCCTTATCTTAACAGAGAAGGAGTGGAGCGAGGAGGACCGGAACAGAGAGAAGGAGCTCATGGATGAGCTGGTCACCATCATCGAGGACAGAAACCAGATCATCAACAGCATGGATCAGGACCGGCAGAGGTGATCACTCAGCTGGGTCATTCCCCTGCTAAATATTTCAGCACTTTTGTGCAGCCATGTTGACACTGTTTCAGATACTGATCTGGATTCAGTTTAAAGATATTGGATTACGCTCATTGTAGACAGATGCTGTGTAGTAGAATTGACATGTTCAGTGTGCACCCTGCACAAGGCACCAGAGGACTGTGACCATACCTGACGAAGGAGTGTTTCTGGCTACATATTTAGTGTATTTCCTGTACCACTGCTTGTTCCTGCATAACTCGTCGCCTGGTTTTTGATGCCAGCTGTATTGTGCTTTGATTGCCTTGTCATTTAGTTAATGGAACCGAATTGACTATTTCAGGGAGGAGGAAGAAGACAAGATGTTAGAAGCAGTGATTAAGAAGAAAGGTACCTGAAAACTCTCCCTGTCCTCTTCGCTGTGGGAAAATCGATATGCCGTTATAAAGTGTACAGTTGCTACAAAGGCAGACTTCAGGGAATCTGAGATGCCTCTTCAGCGATGCAGTTGTACTCTGGCTCTTGCTCATATAACATGACCTGTATCCCCCCCCCCCCCACCCCACACACACCGACAGAGTTCCACAAGGAGCTCGATGTCGACCCAAGGAAGAAGGGTGTCAAGTTCAAGCCCAGTAAGGTTCTGAAGATGCTGAGTCCCAAGAGCGAGGGAGGCAAGAACAGGAACGTCCGGAAAGACAAGAGCTGAGGCGGCAGAGCCTGAGGGAGCGAGCTGCTCTCAGAGGGAGGGGCCAGTGCTGGGGGGCGGGGCCAGTGCTGGGGGGCGGGGGCAGGGAGGCGAGGATGTGCCGTGGGGAGAGAAAGTGGCCTCCGGTGTACGGCAATCAAAGGCTTCCCCCCCCTGCAGCCCTGATCACACCCTCTCACAAATGCTCGCCCCACAAACGCTGACATGTATATATTTTAAACTGCCTTTTTGAACTGTGCCACAGAAGTAACACCTGTTAAAATTAAGACAAAAGAGTGTCTTCCTGTACGATTTTATTTATATTGTGTCCTAAGTGCTGTTCTACCTTTAAGTTATACGTCACAGGCTCTTGAACCCGTCATATTTTTACAGTAGGAACAGAATTAAGTCAAACGTCTGACATTTAACCATGAGCACTGTGGTAATAAGCCCTGGATATTTCTGTTTAGTATCATATATATTTCACTGTGCATAACGCTACTGTACACAAGGACATGGATCCAGTGTCCCAGTAAGGGGTTTTCCCCCATCTTAATGGTAAATTCCTGGTTGCTAAGGTTTCTCTGTAAATTCCGGATACAGGTCCAGTACTATACGTGGCGTATGCTGGATTGGTGCCCGGAATTCGTCGTCGGACTGAGTGATGGTTACGTACCTGACTGTATGTAACCATAAATAAATTTCATTGGTGGGGGTCCGGCTACCATACTGGTAGATTTTGCAGACTGGAAGGGGGGGGCCCCCTTGGTCAGTTTTGCCAGCTGAGGGTGGGGTCGTAGATTAGGGGCTTAAAGCAAATTTTGGGGGGAGGGGTTCAAACTTGTCATTTTACGACCTGACTATGTGCCTGATCAGTAACAGAAAAAGTTTGGTATTTTACTGTGTGGTTACGGATTGTGTGTCCATCGGCGCGGAGGGAATTTTGGGTTATTAAGAAAAGGAAAGTTTTACACAAAATAGAGCAGGCTGGAACGTACCTCATGGCATTTGTAAACATTTGTAAAAAGCAGGGGGTATTGAGTGACCCAGCAGGCCAAGCCTCTGCACCTGTGATTGAAAGGTCGCTGGTTCAAGCTGAGCCTTAGCACGACCCTTAACCCCCAACTCCGTGGGCCACCACTGCAGCTGGCTGCCAAGCTGTGTCTCTATGTGTCATGGAGACCAAGATGGAGAGGGGTGAAAAGAGAATTTCCCCACTAGGGATCAATGAAGTGTCATTATCATCATCAGGTGGATCAGCTGAACATTCATTTATCCATTTTCCATACATAGTTAAAAAGTGAGAGTGTTAAGCCTGTGAATGATGCATATATGCAAACTTAGTTTTTAATTTATGTTTTTTTTAATGTTTTTTTTCCCCCTATTACAGTTATACTAATTTAACCTGTGTCTGTGTTTGACTTTTTTAATGGGCTGGGTTCAGTTCTCTGAAACAGCAGTTTACAATGTGCACATTCACAGTGAAATGCCTTTATTTCCCCCTTTTTAACCCCTCACCCCTCACTCTGTTTCTTCCCCACTTTACCGGTTTGTCATTCTGGGTAACAACGCGCTCTTTCTGCACTCATTGTCACTTCATTTCCTTCAGTTTGGGTTCTTGTCACTGGGGGAGGTTGTGCCACCCAACGGGTTTTACAAAACAGCAGAAATGCTAACAGAGATCTAGACGGAAAAAAAACAAAAAACAATTAAAACCATAGCTATATGAGAAGGAAATAAAAAGAATTAATGAAACTAAACAATGTGTGTTTATTCATTCACATTTGACATCGTGTGTATAATGTATATGCCTAGCAAATGTGACATTTGTAACTGGCAGTTTCTGACCAGCTGGTAAAGTACAGGAATACCCTATTCTCACCCAACTCAATTCTACTTAATTTTGAGTCATTTGAGTGTATAGGAATAATATGGGAATCTTTGTGCATACTTTTATCTATGAGTACCAATTTTTATCTTAGAAGTTTAGAGTATGTGCCTTGGCAGTTTTCTTGAAGTCTAAGGGTTTCCATTGGTGTGTCAGTCAGCTGCAGTTGCGGGACATTCTGCCCTCCTCTGCTCCTCTCTGCTGCTTTTCCACTCCATGCTGCGAGCTCTGTCAATCACTTCCAGCTCCCGGATCCTCTGTGAGATAGCAAGAATAGGTGGAGACACCTTGTCTGTATGTCTCTGGGTTGGGATCTGTACTTTGTACGCGTGAGGATGTTTTTCAGTACCTCTAACGGTTTGTAGACTCTAATCTAGCTCTGAAGGATCTATATCTGAAATTTGTCCACGGTGCAATTCTATGAGCACACAGAATACAAAATGCTCCAAATAGGCTTCACAGTTGTATGTTTCTACCTTCTAATCTATTTGTATATTGTTCAGTGCTTTGCCACTGGATAGACACTTAAACCAGGTGATGCTTATAGCCATAGCCATGTGACCATTTGGCTGCTTGTGAATGGCACTGTGGGTGTTCATGAGACACGTTGGCACACAAATCCATAGCAAATCCACAGCAATACCAGCGTGTGTTGTAACCTGTGATATCTCTGTGTTAATGATGTTCTGGAAACATTTCCCTCTCCCAAGGGCCGCCATCTCCTCAAGAAACTGTCTTCTGTCTTCGATCTCGTCCAGGACTGAGGATTGAAAGAAAGAGAAGGTTGGAGGATGAAGTGGAAAATGAGCTTAAAATCATCTTTGAGTTTTCTCTTTACTCCTAAAACCTCTGGCCTCACCGTCTTGGAATCTGTCGACCTCCTTCTCGGCTCCCCTGTCAACAGGAAAGTCCTGGAAATGGATGGTTTTTGGCTCCTCTTCCTTCCCCATCGCAAAAATACCCTGCAGCCTCCTCTTTTCCATTTCGAGATCCCCTAGAAGAAAGATTGACAAAACAATCTTCTGCATACTTTTGCTGTGGTCTGAATAGTTCACTACATGATTTTGGTCCCAACATCACACCTCTTCAGCTGTGAGACATAAAGCAATGTTAGTATACTATGTGTTTCTTTTTGGAATTTATTTTTTTTGGGGGGGGGGGGGTTACTGACGTATGGCAGATGGGCGGAACTTCTCTCGCACGTAATTATCCCCAGATCTGCATATCGTAGCGCTACGTTTCTGTGGTTTGACTGGCAGGCTGGATGGTTCGTTGACCATGGGTTTGGGATGGGCTGCAGGGGCTAGTGATGTGAGGGTACAAGTCAATGGCAGGGCGCCCCCCTCTGTTCAAAATTAATAGAAAAATTATTTTATGAGATATATATACAGGTTAAGGGCCAAATATAGACAGAAACAAAGTATATAAATTACTTCTATACTCACTCTTCAACTGGCTGGTGATCTGTCTTTGCTGAAAGTTTGTAAGCTTTGACTCTTTCATCATCACTTGCAGAACAGATAGAATATTTTAAAATACATTCTTAGAAAATCAAAGCAAACTATGTAAGAAGTAAAATGGCAGACAAGGCATGATTCAGTGACGTTATGCATTAAGTGATGAATGTATTGCTTAGGTACATATAAAAATTCTGAATTCCTCATATAAAGTTTCCACATATGTAATGGGCAGTCAGAACAGTTACTAGCCAACTTACATTTGAGCATTTCCTGTGTCTCCTTGCTGTACTGCAGCACGTGGCCCAGCCCCGCCCCCGCCTCAGATGAACGTGCTACGTCTCCATTGTGCGACATCTATACCGGAAACATACACACGCAAGCAGACGTAGTGTGTCAGACCAAATTGTCTTTTATTAGTATAAGGCTTACTCTCGTAACATAATTCTTACTAGTTAAAATAACATTCTTACCAGTAAGAATTCGAATTCAAGATATCTACAGTGCAATTCTTACTAGAAAGAATGATCATTTTTACTAGCAAGAATTGTATTTTTAATTAATTTTTGTTTTTAAAATTTTATTGAATTATGGACATGTACAATATGACTTTTTACTAGTGAAAATTGAATTTAGGATATGTGAGACAAAAATACAATGGAAGTCAATGGGAATATATGACTAATAAAACTGAATTATAGAGCTCTATAATATGAATTTTTCCAAGTAAATATACAATTCTTGCTAGTGAAAATGATTATTCGTACTAGTACAAATAGAACTATAGAAATCTGAAATTTGCATTCTATCCAGTAAAATTGTTTTTTTTTTCTTTCTACTATTTAGAATGTAATTTCTCCTAGTAGACATCAAATAACGATTAGTAAGCCTTACACTATTAAAAGACAATATGGCTTGACATAGGACGTAGCGGAGATGGTGTATCACACAGAAGGGAAATAGATACATATCGACAAGTTAATTATTGCTGGAACAGTCTTTCAGGGAGAACAGCAGACCATAGTGTATCTCAAATAAATAAATACTAAAATGCAAATCAAATGTGGATTAACGATACTTGTATTATATTAGTTCATTTGCGTTCTTACTGTTGTAATGTTTCCCCTGGTCCGTATGTTACCTAAAGCCAGAATAACATGCCAACATTGTACTGCCCCGTTACACAATTTAAAACACTTCAGAGCCATTTCATTACAGCCCAGTGTGCACGTTTGTTGTGTAAATCTTCGTGAGGAATAGACTTGTTTTGTAATTTTCAAAACAATTATTGCCACAGCTTACCACGCATTACTTTTTCCATAAACGCTCCAAAGTCGGTCTTATTTCCGAGATGCTTACAGCGGTTGTTAAGGCAACGGGGAAACTACTGGAGTATGTATAGATAATGTACTACCAGATACTACGAGATGTGACTAGCATGTTACGAAAAAGGATCAAATATACAAAAATTGTTAACTAAGATACAAACATAGTAAACTACGTTATAATTAGACTTTGTAGAGTAATGTTAAACATTTTTATTAAAGTTCAGTAGACTCACATCATCTGAGCAGGAGAAAAAATAACAAGAAACCTGTTTTCGGGGATGCCGATCTATATAATACATCACTTGTGTATCTATGCGCCCAGAGCCGTGCCCCGGATGTTGTCGAATATAGAGGAGGAAGCACTATGGGAAAGCGTGTCGCTTTTGCTGCGCGCAGCCGGGATCGAGTCGTACTTGTGTATTTGAGGTGAAAATATACTTAGATAGAACTAGAATGTCTGATAACGAAGACAAGTAAGTAACAAAATAATATTTGCCATAATTAGTTTGTTATAATTGACTTAGCTGGGAAGCGGCGTAATCGTGACGAGGGTAATTTTGATCATGTACGGCAAGCTATCTGTTAGCCATTGGCTAAGTTTGCATGATGCTAGTTTTTGTTTGATTTTTATCAATTGTTTTTAAAACCTTTGTTTCATTTTATTATTTTTCATATGTAGAGATGTTGAGGTTACAAATGCAGATTTCGCATTTGTTGGGAGTAGTGGTTTGAAGTAATATGCTGAGCAAATTTGATTTACCTAAAGTGAAGCATGAAGTTGAAGTTTTAAACAAATCTGAATGAGTACCTAACCACTGCATTTGTCTACGCTTCACAAATTATATAGTATCTCATAGGAAACCTCTATTTAAAACAAACATTTAAAATAGCAAGAGTGACCAATTGTACAAGTAATCTGTTTTTAAAATCAATTTGAATGAAACGGCGAGACGCATGAAATCTGAACTCATGCCACTGAGAATGTTCTGGACTTCATAGTGCTGTACGTACTGTAGCTGGAGTGCATGATTACCCAGGCAGGGCAACGTAATGTGTGGAGTTAAGTCCGTCATCTTTGGCATTTCTCTTTTAGTTTTGATGATGGAGACTTTGATGATGTTGAGGAAGATGAAGGACTGGATGACTTGGAGAACGTGGAAGATGTGAGTTCACTGTGAAATGAGACCTTCTTGCGATACTCTCTGTACTGCAATTGTACTGCATTGAAAATCCTGTCTTTATAATTCAACTTGCCCTTCATGTTTTAGGAAGACCAAGAAAATGTGCAGATCCTGCCAGCGGGAGAGGGCCAGCAAGCCAACCAGAAGAGAATCACCACTCCTTACATGACCAAATACGAGAGAGCCAGAGTGCTGGGCACCCGTGCACTGCAGATAGCGTGAGTATTGCCTCACTGACTCTCCTGTTAAATTTTTGCCTGCAATTTGCACTCCATTTTTAAAGCTTGATATGTGTCCTCATTAATAACACACACAAGCTGAATTGCAAATATAAAATTACTTAATTGTATGAATCGAAATATGTATGTCTAGTTTGATAATGCATGTTCTAGCTAACCTCGTTTTTGTTAAAAATTCATAGTTGGTTCATTTTCATAAGATGATCGCACAGTAACAAAAGCACTGAACATTTGTAAAAGCATCTAATTAACAAGTTAAACACGATATCTAGAAAACAGAAAGGGAAAAAATTAAAGAATGAAGTATTTCCTTGTTGAGGTAACTTTTTGGATAGTAACCCAGGATTCGCACCCCTCTCTGTCCCCCTGCACCTGTTCTTATCCTGGCCAAACTTCACTTCTTGCTGCTCTTTCCTGCAGGATGTGTGCTCCAGTTATGGTGGAGCTGGAGGGAGAAACAGACCCACTGCAGATCGCCATGAAGGAACTCAAGTAAGGATCTTCTTCTGTCCCTGCATTTTGATTTCACTCATGATTTAGCCTGAGCTGCGAGTTGCATGTTCCGCTGCAGCTGCGGTGCTGCGGCGTGTAATTACTGGGTCCTGACACCCCTTTGCAGGAGCCGGAAGATTCCCATCATCATCCGGAGGTACCTGCCGGACGGGAGCTACGAGGACTGGGGCTGCGATGAGCTCATCATCTCCGACTGAGATGATCCGGTCCAATGCGAGCTTCTGTGGAGCCAGGATACCAAGCTGAGTGTGAACTTGCTGGAGGTGCCCAAGGGACACGTGCACTGGGCCCATGGAGTTTGGATTCAGAGTCCTAAAAAGTCTATTTTCTCCCATGCATGGTGCAGCAGCCTCTCTACTGTATTGTATAGTTTACCATAATAATAAGTCATAATGAAAAATAGTAGTGTGCTTAAGGAACCATCGAAACCACATGGTTTACTGTGTCGTGTTCATCACTGGTTTAACCTGGCTGGACCCAACAAAGTAGCCAATGGGAAGAGAGTGTGCAGTGTTTTACAGCATCCACTAAGACCACCCACTATAGGTTGCAGACCTTTTTTTTTTTTTTTTGTTCCTCATCACTAGCCCTTTATACATAAATGGGAAATGACAAGAAATTGGGTTATTTCAGCTGAAATCCACCAGAGGGAGCCAAAATGTTTTGTTTGACCTGACAGTTGATTTGGTCATCTTTTTAATAACTTTCAATATTTTTTTTCTAAGATCCAGAAGATTGATACTGCTTGTCAAGTTGTAATATAAAAAAAGTAGGAATTTTAATTATTTTATTGTCATGGCTCTTTTTCTACTACTAATTGTTGACCACTTCCTCAGTGGTTTAATTTAAATAAAGTGGAATAAGTGTTTATTTCCGAGTTGAATTGTTAGTCATGGTTTCTGTTATTACTTGAGTTATAGATATGGGCAGGATCTCTATGATGTGATAATCATAAAGCCAATGCAATGTCACTGACACACCTGGGTACTGGCAGAACATTTTAATCCTTCGGTTTTTCTCTGACCCAAGAATTTAGTCAGGCGTGACTCTTGAGATTTTGGGCCCCATGAAAGCATATCGTATGAAGGAGCCCCCAACTCAGACCAATCTGATTCTCTTCCAAATCTTGTTGGACCCACTCAGAATCATCCAGCTCCTAACTGGTATTTTGAATAGAGGATTCTCAGTCTGTTTGTGGGGAGACTACATCCAAAAGCTGAGAGTGATATCCATGATGAACAACTTGGATTCTTGTTGCTATTGTTTGTGCTTTATATTGGTGCGATGTGAAGGTGCAGCCATTAGTTGGGAGGGTGATTGGTTTGGATGATTAGGGCGGCGTTGTTGCTATGGGCTGGTGATGCCCTATTCACTCTATCCAGACATGTCCATTAGTGTGGGCTCAAGCAATGAGCTTCTGAAAAGGAAGTAACTGGGCTACGAATTATCGCCTCAAAATATCAGGCTGTGTTTCTATTATGGAAAAGTGTTGTTTTCTTCACTTGGGAACTCTTGGTTTATTGGTCAATCTGTGTCATCTGTTCATGAGTTCTATGGTTAGTGACTAGGATTGCAAAATTCTGGGAATTTTCCTGTTAGTGCCCATATATTCCTGTTAATTCCCTTGGAAAGTTTCCAACTTGGAATATTTCCAAAATTCGCACGCTTAACTTGACATGGAATGGAAAGTTTCTGTAAATTTCCCACCCCTTTGCCACTCTGGTAGTGACTGCAAAGACAAGGCCATGGATATATGTGGCCGAAATTAAGCTTTTGCGGGATTTTTGGGCTCCCTCTCCTGGAGAACCAGTTGCCACCGGAAACATACTGGACACGTCTCACTGGGAGGAAGTCTTGGGGCAGATCCAGGAAGCCCTTAAGGAATTATACCACTCGGCCGCTCTGGGAATATTTTGGTTTCCTTCAGGAAGAGCTGGAATCTGTTGCTGTTAAAAGGGAAAGCTGTTTGTGAACCTCACTAATATTAGCAAAACGGAAATAGAGGTATCAGTTTCTAAAAGGTTAGCAGACTGTATGTATCTGTCTGTATTAGGTACCGGGTAGTACTCCGCTGGTAGAGTGGGTTTATTAATAATTTGTATTTTGTTTGTGCTACCAGTGACATCAACAAAGGTGACAGCTTAAGTATCCTTATGTGTTTTTTTTCTTTTCCACTCTATATAAATATATGAACTATAAGACTGAAATTAGTGATAGAATAACAGGTATTCCTTCACCAAACACTATATCCTGGTATCAACAGGGAAAAAAAAGCCTGACAATGATATGCAAAGGAATGCGGACAGCAAATGAGGAATTTGAGGGACCAGTTTACCCAATATCAGGTGATGGAACAAATCATACAAGATACCATAAATTCTAGCAAATGATAACGGCTGTATTAATTTCTTCATCTGTTGCACTGCATACGAAACACTTTGTGGGTGAAGGGATGGTATTGATTTCATTTTTTGCTATAAATTGATGGTAAGTTAACAACCCCCACCCTCCCCATCAACAAGCGTCACTACAGTGTGTGAGATCGGCGCATTCACTTCGTCTGAGTCATATTACAACCGTAGGAATTCTCCTTCACGGTGTCGTATTTGTCTGTCTAGCCTTGTACTTTCCCGGCTCGCCTAGACCGCAGACCATCTGACAGCAACGCAGTCACGCACACGTTGAGAAAACTGGTGTGAAGTCTCCTTTTTTCCTCTCCGCACGTGTAAACCAACACTCCACGGTTTCAGACAAGCCACTTCACCTCTCTGTCCGAAATCTTGTTGGGATCCTAAAGCTGCATCTAAAATCCCGTTTCCAGACAGAGCCAGAAGAAAGCGTGAGCTGCCTCTGCTCCGCGCTGGATCGGAAAGTTATTCCATAGTGACCGCGTGCATCTGCAACACTGCCGCCTGGCGGCGCAGATCTCAGATCTGTGTGCATGTCTTCCCTAAGTTCAGCCTTCGGTAATTTATTGGGGGGGGGGGGGTGTTTGCCCCGCAGCTATAGCCTCTTAGAATTAAACAAGGTTTAAAACACATATTTAGGAGTTTCTGAAATACTTTAGAGCAGCTTGGTTCTGACTATTTTTACAACGAGAGTTACTTTTACCAAGAAAGCACTCTGGCGAGCTACTGCATAGTGACGGTATATTTTGTCGATGGGGGGGTGATCGCCATCAACTGGTTGGCGACCACTGGCTTACAAACAATGTTGATACTGCAAACGGACACAGAATCGAAGGACTTGTACGCCATCTCACCTCCAGTATCACCATCTATCTCCTCTTTCAGTCCCGCCTTTGCTCCCACCGCCTGCGGTACTGGACGAATTTTTAAATCCCATTACAGCCTAAGGCTCGGCAGATAGAGGGAGAGGGAGAGGGAGAGGGAGAGGGGGGGGGGGGGGGGGGGGGGGGGGAGGGGGAGGGGGGGGGGGGGCAGTATGAAAGTCCCTTTGTATGGCTGCAAAGCTACAGCCCGAGCAGTTACGGGTATGACTTGCTCGCCCGCCTCCCCATCCACCATCTCAATGACGCTCTTTGTCAAGCCGCCGATTAAACGGAGGGAATTGCCAGTGCGGCCCCCTACCGACGCACAGAGGCGCACACATTAATACAGTGTGCTGCTTGTTGTTTGTGACAGACTCCGTGCTGGGGTCCCCACGTCCCACCGTCGTGCACCGCAGTGGAGTTAAAGGTATCCTGGGTTTATTCCGCTGACTCCCTGGATTCCCAAATTTGTGTACTGCTCCACCATCAACGTGGATGGATAAGTGGCTGTGGATGAGGAGTAACCTAATAAGGCCAGACTGTCTAATTGCTTCGTAGGGCAAATGCCACAAAAACCAAATTAAGCACCAGGGCAATTAATCACATATATTAAATGGCCACTTCTTGTAAAAACTATTTTCGTGTGACTCTAAATTGAATAGTTACTTTATATTAAAACAGAGATGTTTCCCAAACCACGCAGCTTTCTTTTTATTTACAAAAACACGACAACGGTTTATTTCATGCGAAATGCACTGGAGCTCCCGCGTCTCCATGTTTTCCATTCAGCCGCACACGTACAGGATGCGTTACAACGTGACGTCACAGCTAACGTGCGAAAGATTGGCGAATAATCGAGTGTGTACATAAGTATCGTAAAAACGGTTAACAATGATAAGAAACATGGTATTAACAAATATAAATAATTTGTTTTAATATATCACAACAGTTATCTGTAACAATAATGGCGAGTTTGAAATTTCATGTTATGAAAGGAAACAATAAGAAATTCGGAATTCTTTTAAAAATACATAGATACAAGTCGATTCGGGACTGTAAGAAAGCACATATGTCAGACGGTTGTACAATATAGGGACCCCAAATAAAAATATATAAATCATGTAAAAACAATAAATCATTCACATTGTTAGGGGACATAAGGGAATCAGAAAAAAGGTTCATGGGCCAGTATGGTTGGATATTGAGGGTGGGGGTTCAGTGAGTTTTCGCTGTGAGCAAATCTTTTTAAGGCATGAAGTAGTTTCTTTTTTTTACTGCCAATGAAATACAAAGAAGCTGTTGGCATTTTCAACAGCAACATCTTCAATGCTTGACAACTGTCATATATTGGTAATTATGTATCAGGTGGCACCAAGCAGGAATAGGCCTTACAGTATGGGAGGGGGTTTGACAACTTGGATGCCTTTAGAGCGGATTCCGTGCAGATGAAACGTTGCTCTGGACGTCCTGTGATATGCCAAGCGAAAGGCACCCCTTTAACACCATCCCTAAGCAGTCAGGGCAGCCTGATGTTTCGGAGAAACATTTAAAACCCAGGAGTGGCCTCAGCAAGCACTTCCGTAATGCTTCAGTGATTGTGTTTGGCTTCATGCTTTAACAGTGTATCATTTTAAGCATTTTTACAGCTGTGTATTTAATCATTTCTCTACTTTGGGCTACAGCTGCATAGTCCGTCCCTGCTATGTTCTTTTGGCACCGTTTCCCTGCCCTAAAGCCCCTTTTCTGCCTTGTCTTCCCATAGCCGCACCGGTAATTGTGAAATTAAACGGTACGCTAAGCTCCAGGTTGGCGCTACCTTAACCCCTATTTAAAGTGTAACAGTAACCTGTGTTTTAGTAGTTAATTAAGAGATGCTTCTGTGCAAAGCATTTTCTATTTATGCAACTGGGTGCTTAAATAAAACACCAAGGTATTGAAGCGAGGCCCTGAACCAACAACCTTTGAGTTATAACTCCAACGCAGTGTTTCTCAACCCAGTCCTCAGTGAACCCCAGCCAGTCCACGTTTTTGCTCCCTCCCAGCGCACCTGTACCAGCTATTCGGTGTTCCTGATTGGCTGGGAGCTGGGAGGGAGCAAAAACGTGGACTGGCTGGGGTTCACTGAGGACTGGGTTGAGAAACACTGCTCCAACGTCTTAAACGCCACACTATTGGCCGCAGTCGTAATGGATCGGCAAGTCTCCAAATTGAAAGACCATATTGCATCATCTGTATTGTGACGGGGAACATTTGGATGCTTTGCTTTGCTCCTGAGAGTTTTATTTACACAGAGGTGTTCTGAGGGCACAACGAAAAATGATGGGGTCAGAGAGATAACCAATCAGCAACTAGAGGAGGCAAGACCAAGACATTTGATTGATTGGTCCTGCCTCCTCAAGTTGCTTGGACCCTACAATATGATTGGTTATCTCTCTGAATAAATTATTTTTCAATCTGCCCTCAGAACAAGAAAAACTCCCATGAGCCACTACTTTGGGGATCCAGCAGTACAAAGTGGAGTGACAGCCTGTTTTACTCTCACTCTCAAAGAAATACACACATTTGCTCACTCTATTGTGATTAACAGCTCACACTATTAAAGAATAACACACATCAAAGCTCAGTGTGTTGTCATCCATGGGGAGCACAAAGCCAGAGATTCACACTAAACATTTTACATGAAAATAAAATCCCAGATCAGCCCCGCACACACGTGTCAGGTCCCTCCATACCACACTGCACACACGTCAGGCCATGGTGTGCTGCACTGGACACACGTGTCAGGTCCCTCCTGCACTGCACACGTCAGGCCGTGCCGTGCCTCACTGCACACACGTGTCAGGCCCAACACATCCATGCCCCAGCCAAATTGACTAACTCCACCCAGAAGCAGTGCTCGATGCATCAGCCTTAACACAGCCTGTGCGGCATTGCTAATGAAGGATATTTCATTCTTAAAGCCAAAGGAGAATCCAGCTGTCCATGCTCCATATGGCAGGCAAGGGGAATAATAATATAAATTAAGGTGATTATGTTTTAATTATTGGCTTGATGATGATGTGGGTAGGGCTGCCTCTACGCTTCCCTGTGTGTGAGTGGGTGCCCCCTGCCTTGTGCCCTGCGATGGACTGGCAACCAGTCCCGGGTGCCCCCTGCCTTGTGCTCTATACTTCCTGTTACAGGCTCTAGCAGTGGAAGAATGGAGGATGAATACTTCATTAACAACCACACCAGGAAATTCCTTCATTATAATCTGTCCTGTAGGGAAAATCTGTTGACAAAGCATGGCCCGTGTAAAACATATTTTCGCATTATCCTTTTGTGTTGCATATACAGTGTAGAACTACTATTACATCTACGAGGGTTCAAATATTCTCACTGTAATAAGTAAATACAATATTTTTGCTCATTTTTGGTTTCTCCATCAAACACATGGGTGTAACATAGGAAAGCAAAGGGTTTTATAACCTCGCTTAATGGGTCTGATTCAGCTTAATGCCTAATTTTATCCAATTTTTGCATCTACATGGAACTTTACATAGCAACAGCTGTTTCAGGCATTTCGAACTTAGGCCAGAGGCTGAACTTCCAGCCTCTCGCACTTTAGAGACGGTATTAAGATCACGCTCTTCCAGTCTGCTCCACCTTCTACATGTCCACACTGCGGTTCCTAAAGGAGCCGTGGCTGAAGGCTTTTCTCTCCCGCCTTCCCTCTCAGGGCCTGGAGAGGGTGGTGTACACTGGCTGCTCCCAGTGGGGGGGGCTGTGTGACTGGGGCACGTTGCCCGGCTCGCCAATGGCCGTGTACAGGGGTCTCTGGGTGGGGCCCATGTAGGAGAAGGCAGAGTACAGGCCCGAGGTGGGACTGGAGTGAGTGTAGTAGGAGGCCTGGTGGTCGCTGTAGTCGAACTGGGCCCTGGGGGGCAGCGAGGGGAAGGCTGAGCCATAGTGGGGCAGCCCCAGAGGGGTGTAGGTCACATGGGAGCTGCCCGGCGCAGACTCTGCGAAGGGGCCACTCGCCCCCGACTCGCTTTTGATCTGGGCCTTGGATGGGTCCGATCCTGTGGGGGAGTGCTGTTTGGAGAGCCAGGCGGCCGAGTGACCGCTGGCCGCAGCCAGGGCGTACGCGTAGGGCGAGGCCGAGGACGCCGCGCCTCCAGAGCCCCCCGGGTGTCCATTAGGGGGCAAGTATTGGTCGAACTCGTTTACGTCGAAGGGCTCCATGTTAGCCATCACCTCGTGGCTCATCTCCCCGATGTCCACGTTCCCGAAGTCGATGTGGGGCTTCCCCACGCCAGCCGCGGACCCGGACGGCCCCTCGCTCGCGACGCCCAGCCCGCCGCGGGACCCGCCGGCGCCACCGCCTTCCCGCTTCCCCTCTGAGGACTTGCCAGGCTGTAGCTCTGTCTTCGGAGTGGTGGGCGGCGTCGGGGGGCCTTGGCTCTGGCCTGACAGGGAAATAAACACAGGAAATGAAGAGGCGGAGAGTTTCTACAGAAAGTCGGGGCAGAAATAAAGGGGAACCCTGAAATATGTGGGGTAGGGGCGGCATATCGGGCATACCGGGCAACCCCCCCCCCCCCCCCGACTCAGCAACATGCTGTGAGGACCCCCAAATGCAGGGCCAGTAAGGGGGGTCTAATTATTAGACTGTCAGGAGTGACAGTCAGACACATAGCTACATAGTAAAATGACAGCTAACAACTGAAATTATGAGTTTGAACCAACCTTGGAATTTGGTTCCACCCCCTGGTCAGTGAAATCTAAGCAGAATCTCCAGTAAAAAATTATTTTTGGCTACGGACCTGGTGACAACGTCGGCTGCTCAAAACCACAGCTCATGGGCCGGTTGTGGCCGATGCCCATCAGCCAATCGGGAGCCTGCTTGCCCTGAGTGGACGTGTTCCGAGGGACGGCTCTGGTAGTGTGATTGGCTGTAGCCGACCTCACCTTCCGAGTGGGCGTCGGAGTCCCGGCCGGAGCCCATCTTGCCGTTCTTGCGGCGTCGAGGCTGGTACTTGTACTCGGGATAGTCTTTCTTGTGCTGCTTGCGCAGCCTCTCCGCCTCGTCGATGAACGGTCTCTTGTCGCTCTCGTTCAGGAGTCTGTGGGTGGTGGTGGGGGGGGGTGTCAAAATGGCCACCAGTGCAGGCTGCACACCATTGAAGCAGAGTGCCTCATAGGAAATAGGACAGTGGAATAGACTGCGACTGAGTCATGCGATGCCCTAGGTGTGTGTATGACTGTACATGTGTGACGCTGAATGTTTAAAAGACATAAACATGTAGACTTATAGACTTATTTTGAATTTCAAGATTTGTCAAACGTTTTCCCTCGAATCAGGCAGTGTGCACATTCTACACTCTCAAAAAAAGGGTCAAAATGTATACCTGTGCTTGTCAATGGGACTGTACCCTTGTATTTGTAGCTTTTAAGGTATACAGACATGGACTCTGAGGAACATCCTAAAGGTACAAACAGCATTAATGTACCATCAATGGTACAGAAAAGTTCCTCAGAGTCCATTTCTGTATCTTAAAACTTACAATTACCTACAACTAAGGGTACAATTGGCAGAACCTTGTGGGCACAGGCACAGTGACAAGAAACGGTACACATCTTTACCCTTTTTGTTGTATCTAGGCAGTTCATGTAACATTGTGGTAATTCCCATGATATTTATACTGAAAATCCACCGATGAAACATAAATGAGGTGCACTAGATATTTCCCTAGTAAGCTTTAAGCATTTTATACACAGATGTAACATATAAACGGCTGTTTTCTAACGTCACACCTCTCAAGAGACTGACACAACTCAACATAACATCAGAATAATCAGGTATATGACAAGCATGGAATTAACATTAAAGTGCAATCAAAAGTCTGATGCCTTATTACATGTTAAAACACACCAAAGTACATGAGATCCGAACAAATTCTTGTAATGCTCAAAATATGCCAATTATTTTGCTGGCTGCTGAATGGGGATTGGGCATGAATCAAGGCTGAACGCCTAGAGAGGTTACATTATGATAATACAGTCCAGCTGCTCATAATTAAGTGAGCGGTTTCAACATGTAAGATCTGGTAAGTCTGTAATGGACTTTCATTAGGTCTCCAGCTTTGGGCTTCCTGGGTTAGCGGAACCCAAGTTAACACTGTGAACACGGTAAGCGGTTATGGACGATGGATGGAGAGAAAATTTGAGACATTAGAACTTAAAACTACATCCAACACGTTTGGCAGTAATAACGAAGTAGAAAAAGACTGACATAGACTTGGAGACTAGAAATGGTAACGCATGAATATTTTGAACTAATGATTATCCTTTCGAAGTATAAAATTTAACGAACACTGTCTGTCATCTCAGCAAAAAGATGCCTGTTGAATAAATAAACAGTTAATTTAAACTGCGCACGTCGGTATTAAACCGGCCAGCACGTCGCCCACGTTTCCCTACATACCGCCACAGCTTGCCCAGGGTTTTGCTGAGCTCGGCGTTGTGCAGGTGGGGGTACTGGTCGGCCAGTTTCCTTCGCGCTGCCTGCGCCCAGACCATGAAGGCGTTCATCGGCCGCTTCACATGAGGTTTGCCTTTGCTGCCCGAGTTTACGCGCACCGGCATGGGCACCAGGGTCCAGTCGTAGCCGTTCAACACGTGGCTGACAGCCTCACGGATACCAGCAGGAAAGCGGTCGTCATCGTCATCCAACCTGTCTGAAGGTGACCTGTCCGCTCCAGCCTCCTCGCTGCCCATTACTGTCATCTGCTGCTGGGACGCGGATAACGGCGAGCTCCCCGGTCCCATCGCACCGGAGTGGGATGGCGACAGCGTGTGCCCATCGTCCGACGCCCCGGAGCTCATTTCCACTTCGGATAAACTCTGCTCTTCTCCAGACATATTCTTTCCTTCTTTTTCCACTCGTTTTTTTTTTTTTTAATGAAAAGTCACCCGGGAAGATAGGCTGAAGTTAGCTTAATATGTCCGTCTTTATTTATTGACCCAGTGATTTGGAAAAAAAATATCTCCCCGGCTACTCCTGCCGCTCCATTCCACTGAGGCACTGAATTGAATCCCAGTGTTAAAAGGTGTTATGTGTCCGTTTAGTTAATGTCCAGATTTCGCTCAGAATCCAGTTTATATAAACTCCCGGTAAACGTCAAATGCAGATCCTGTAAATATCAGAATTCCTCCCAAAAGTTCCACATGAAACTTACTCCAACGAGCCGTGATTCTTATTCTGACTTTTCATTGTTTTTCTTGATCCCAGTTATTCGCTCGTGACGCCCTCTGTCATCTATTCTTGCGATTATTTGATGGTCAAACCTAAAATAACGAAATTTCAATCGTTGTAGTCATTAAAAATAAGCGAGAAACCTATACCCCATTTATTGGCCTCCACATAACACAGGCATAGTAAACAAGCAAAATAAGAAAAGCATTAAACAGACAAACTATTATTGGGCAATACGTTCAGTTTTTCCCTACGTCACATAGACGCGAGACTTCTTTAGCGCGGACACTCCTCATGTCCATCCATCCATCTGTATAGCCTCCTATCCTTATACTTGTGCCACAAGGGGTTAATGAGGTATAATAAATTCCTGACGGTAACATGTGACACGGAATTCCTTTCAGTCATTAATTTATCATTATTAAACAACACATGCGTATTGTTTCAGCAGACGATGAATTCACTTTAACAACCAAATGACAGGCGAGAGAATCCCCCCCTGAATCGAGAAAAAATACTCTTGCATACCCACATTTAAATCTAATAAGGATACTTTTCAGTTAATCCTTATAAGTGGGTTTTTCGTGCACTTTATAGGTAGGGTAGGCCTATAGCAAAAAAAGAAAAAACAAACTAAATCAATTTAAGAAGAACCCCAAATCCTGCTTTATATCATACTAAAAAATACATTTTAATTTCGTTTTTGCTTAGTCATCGTCGCGTTAGTTTTATTAATTCGCCCCGACTACCAAGTTACAGATGTTTGACACTGTTATTTCAAGATCCCATAATCAAAAAATATCTGGTTTTCCCCGGGGTTTCAGCAACAAACAAATACAAGAAACCAAACTTACAATCGTTAATTGTGTTGCTTTCGTTTGTTGTTTTGCCCTGCGGCGTATGTTTGGTAAATTAATAAATATTTGAATTGTGCATTTTACTGTTCTTTGCTATAAGATTAGGCCTATTTTGGTGTACAAGTTCGCCATTTGTAAAAATGAAATACATAACAGAATAGAAATGACACACAAATTTAAATACAAACTGAAGAGCAAAAGGCTTTTATCTAAACAGAACCAGATTTGATTTGAGAAAAAAGAATAAAATAAACTTTGACAGGTGGCTGTCTTCTCCCTTACAGATCGGCAGATCAGTCCTGTTTAACGCCGATTCTTCAGACCCCATCCTTGGCCCTCCCTCCATTACTCGCACGCACCTGCACACAAAGCTCCCCTGTCTCCCTTTACCACCCGTTTTCCGCATTTGCTTCTCACGAGTTTATACCAACGTTATCTTCCGCGATTGAGTTACCGCGAACAATCAGGCAGTGTGGTGGCGTTTTGGCCGGAGGTGCAGACGTTTCCTCTGCCTCCCGGCGTGGCCGCATTTCATTACCGTTGCACTAATTGAAGACATCCTCGTACACACATCCCCATTTGCTATGCACCTTCTGCAGATACCATTGCTGATACGTAGGCTGATAGCGCTAAGTTTCAGAACATTTTTCCTTTCCAAATATCATCAGGTTGCCTGTCTGACTTTCCTGCATCCCGCTTTGAAGGTCTTCCGGTAAACTTCCTTAGTACATCCGAAGAATGTCCACGGTCCCGGTGTTATGCCGAAAAAGCATCCCTGCCTTAGAATGCATGCCGGTGTTCCGACGAGTTGAGCTTTTAAGGGTTTTTTTGGGGTCAGGGTTTTTTTTTAGGGTTTAGGGTTAGGGTTTTAGGGGTGTTTTGGGGGTTAGAGTTAGGGTTTTAGGAGGGTTTTGGGGGTTAAGGTTTTAGAGGTTTTTTGGGGGTTAGGGTTAGAGTTTTACGAGTTTTTTGGGGCTATTGATTAGCACTACGCTAGCCTTACTCGACAAAGTAGCTCAATTCGTTTCAGATCAGCGACCAATCGGTCATTTAGAGACAGGCATGCATTCTACGGCAGGGATGCCTTTTTCGGCATAACACATGTATCCAATATAAAATTAGCGAAATTTCTAATTAAGTAATGTAACATATTTACAGGCTTGGAATAGCTTAATATGAAACCGATCGGGACGTCATATGGGATTCGAGGAAGACACCGATTCGAGTCCTGCAAATAGAACGGGTCTATACCTGCCGACACTTTACATTTTCTGGATAAACGCATCGCCCTTAGACTTCTTGAGACTTCGCGTCTCCTTCAGCGTTAAACGTTGTTATGCCATCCTGTAAATCGCGTAAATTCCTTAATTGTTCATATATGAAATTAATTTAGCCAATTAAGTTTGTATGCAGAGACACGTGACAAATAATTGTATTCCCCCCTAGCTTGTGAGTGTGATTAACAGGCAACTTAGTATGGATAATTACGACGTTTACTGAATTATTGTGGTTTTAAGAAATATATGATTTCGTTAGTCATTTGCTGTATGTTGTTGAACCTTTAAACACATTAGCTTACAGGTGTAATAAGGTTAATTTCCTTTAAATCTATTAAAATTTCTGCCTACGTCCTTAAAAACTTTTAAAATATGATTTTCAGAGGCCTACGAGAAACTGGTAAGTATAGGCCGAAATATCTTACATTTTTAAACATTTGAATGCTTAAGCAGCTCACGGTATTATACTGCAGTGTTTAGTCACTCTAAATGTCAAATCGGTTTACTCAGACAGACTTGCTGAATAACTGGGAATTACAGTTCCCCTCATCAGTGACGTTGAATGAAGACCGCTGTAGTAAACATTGGTGTTTTAAGTACAATCATTTGCAGTGACTGGCTATGTAATTTACATTTCAGTTTGAGGAGCTTATATATGAACATCTATAAAATATGCTGTACGCCTCCTGTTTCCAACTGTAATCTTCACTTCTGGTGAAGATCTAACTATCCTGGTAAAATATCCTACATTTCGTAAGAAGCTTTTGGTGCATAGCGTTCCGAGTCCGGTTTAAAAATAAGTAATAATTTAAACAGTGTAAACTTTTTAAAAAGAAAAAAAATGCTTGTTGTTAATAGCATAGAGCTGTTTGAATAATATGACATCGACGTATAAAATAACATTTTTGACGAAAAGATATTCATTTAGAAACTTTCCAGATGTGTTAATATACTATAACTTCAGCTAGAAATCATTACGAAAGAACAGGTGCACAGAACATGTAGGTTAATAACTGCCATTCCTACCCCTTGCAACACCACAAGGGGACATATATCAACAACAAAAACAACACAAACAATCATAATAATGATAATATCAATTCGCATAACAGTAATAATTTTCAGCAGTCAGGAAAGGTTCAGCAAAACTTAGTTTAACTATTTATTTATAGTGTGTATAGTTCTGAAAAACCCAAACAGCGAGAGAAAGAGACACATGTTTAGCCAAAAACATACACTGTACAGCAACTTACTTCCACGGAGAGGAGTTCGCCTGCTTAGCGGGAGATTTAGAGTATTTCCAAGTTCCCAAAGTGACGCTCGCGCTCCACCAGCCCCCGCAGTGAATACCGGCTCTGTGTCTGTCGACGGAGCTTAAAGAGATCTGTTGTGTGAAGAAGGGAAAAAAATATATATTTCAAGAAAAAAAAATCTTAAAGGAACAGCACACACACTCGGTCACGACATTACCTTCTAGCCTAATTTCCGTGCCTGTGGAGATTGGTTGTTGGAGTTCTTTCTTTCTTTCTTTTTTTTCAAAAGAAGGCGGGACTTTCTGAACCCCAAAAACTGCCAATGAAAAACGTCTCATTTTATATGAGAGTAGTTTTCCAAATAATGGAGAAACTGAATTACTATGGAATAATAGCAAATATATGCAAAAAATATGAACATTATCGTTATAATTGTAAGGTATATTAATATATTTAAATCAATTCATTTCATGACTGCTGATTTTCAGACTTTCAAAACGTGATTCACTTTAAGTATAACAGTGTTTAAAGTTTTTGCATGGAAGTCATTATATTTGCATAGTCTTACAGCAATGGTACCGACTTAAATTAAATGACGCCTAGTATGCTAATAAATCTTTCTGTATATTTATATAAATAGACCCTTTTGCGGGCTGTGGCGTTAGCATTGGCGATATTAGGATTAGCAGGCAATAGAATTTCATTCAGATAAAACTACATTTATAGATATTGAGTCACGGACACAATAATAATCCAATCATAAAAATCTGTTCTCAAATCTGTGCTTATCGCCAATTAAACGAATACAAAACAAATCTTTAACATACAAACATATGCTTTGTATTGATACATTTAATTAAGACAAAAGATAGACTAATGAAAGAAGATTAACAGTAATCTCATATTTGTCATTTAGGCTTTGCTGCCTTATTGTGTGTCTCAGTAACACACACACATTTATAATGGCAGCTATGTGAAATGTGCTTGGAAGTGCCATCCGTAGATGTCAGATCAGTTAGCAGTATGAAGACCCCAGAGAACACCGAGAATCTGCTTTGCCCATCAGGGACTTGTCCCACGAAGCAGGAGTTCACTGTTAAGCTAGATGTCTTGGTCGTCCAGGAAGAGTTTAGGTAAGGAGCATTCCTATTGGACAATCAGGACTTCTAGCTTAAGTTAACCCAGCTAAGTGAGAAATCCTGCTTTGTTGAATACCCCCCAGGTGTCAGAGAGAAGCAATATGACTGCAGCGACACTATCAGAAAAGCAGTACCAGTTTGTACCTTTGCTTGTCACTGGGGTTGTACCCTCAAGAGTCTGTCAGTTGTACCCTAGCTGTAGGTAAATGTACCTTTTAGTCTAATTTAAGGTACAGAAATGGATTCCGAATAACATCCCCAAGGTACAAACAACATTAATGTATTCCCAATGGCACAAAAATGTTTCACATAGTCCATTTCTGTATCTTGAAAGGTTAATTTACCCCTGAGGGTACAGCCTCAGTGACAAGCAAAGGTACAAATTGGTACTTTTTTTTTCCTGACAGTGTACAGGCGAGAGAAAGGAGGGGGTTGGCGGATGCACAGTAGCGACCTCCTCCAGGCAGATCCAGACTGCCCTAGACTCACAGTACTGACTGACATACAGGTGTGCTTCACTAATCCTGAGATACAGGAGTGAGACTGAACTGGGCTGAATCAAACAGCTACCCAGGGGTGCCGTAAGGGGGAGGAAATCTAGGACGATTCCAAGGGCCCCTGAGTGACAGGGGCCCTAAAAAATTAGGAAAATAACTGGATTGGTTTGGACTGGGGGGCCTAATATGATATGCTTTCATGGGGCCCAAAATGTCTAGCAACGCCCCTGCAGCTACCACTGCTAAATTAGAAACAGAGTGTGGTTTTTATTCGAAGCAAGTGTTAAACTCAAGATCCAAGCTGTAGGTGGAATAGGGATTAAGAAAACAGTATTTCCTTGTTCTTTTTAAATAACTGAGTAGTAATAGTTGTTATATATCTATGTAGGTAAACAAATACACCCAAGACACTTGTACCTGGACTCTTCGACTCCTTGACAGCCTTTACCTACGTCTGTAATGTGCTAGTTGCCTCACTTGTACGTCACTTTGGATAATATGCATCCATTTCCTGAAACCGCTTGTTCTATCCAGGGTTTCGGGGGCTCCGGAGCCTATCCCAGCGGCTACGGGCGCAAGGCAAGGAACAACCCCGGATGGGACGCTAATCCATCGCAGGACTTGGACAATATTGTCTGCCAAATATGTAAATGTACATGAAATATTTACTTTACTTCTATTGTTTTACTGACAAAAATTAGTACTGTTTTGTCTAGAACGTTATGATTCAGCATCCAGCCCAGACTGGCATTGATTGAGCTATATTGTGTTAGTTGCGTCGTCACAATATGCTACACAGCACTGCTGTTTACGCTAACAAGTGGAACATCAATTGGCCTGTGTAACAATGTGTTAACTTCATAAAAGTGCCTTATGTGGGTCCAGTAATGGCATCTACCAGTAGTCCCTTAGATATACAGAAGGAAAACTGAACTCGGGGAATATCAGGGAAGATATAATACAGAGTGTAGACTATTAAAATCAGACACTGACAAACTGTCACACTGTTCCTCTCCACAATAACCCCTTGTCCTCATACCAATCCAGTTACCACCCGCCGCCCAAAAAAGTCACTTCATCAATGAATGTCGATTCTGGCAGGTAAAAATATGATGATGAGTGATACTCTCTCTCTGTGGCTCTCGCGATCTTTCATTCCTGTTCCACACTTTCTTTGAGCTCTTTGTCTTTCCCAGGTGAATTTTAATCATGTGATCAAACGAGCACCCCCCCCCCCCCACACACGCACGCACTTTACCCCCTTAAATGAAAAAATGAGGAACAAAAAGCAGTTTTGTGTATTTAGAAAAAAAACGCATAGAAAAGACATGGGTGTCCCTTCGTTCCTCCTTTTTTCCCAGTTTCCCTGCACTCACGGACAGAGCCAAAAAGTCCTCCGAAAATTTTCTGGATGTGGATTCATCATCTTGACTCACCATTTATACTGTAAAATTTCTTCACATACTTTTTTGGAGGGGTGAGTGTGGGTGGGTGTGCCCCCGCCCAGTCTGTTGCCTCACACCTCTGGAATTGTGACTTGCAGTTGGCGTTTGAAGTGAGTTTCTGCATCGGTGTGTATTTGTGCCTATTGTATGTGTGTGTGTGTGTGTGTGTGTGTGTGTGTGTGTGTGTGTGTGTGCGCGATGGGTAGGGTTCAGCAAGCGCTGTGCAGAAGTAGGCCAGACGTGACAACAGCTGGCCATCCTGTGGTGTTGTAGCTGTTGTCCCTGTCAGGTGTGTATGGGGGGGGGAGGGGGGCAGGGGATACTGTGCACTGTACTGAATCGAAGAAAAAAATGCTGAGCGATGGAAGTAAAGAAGCTTTATGGAAACTTCAAGAATGTCACAGTGAAAGGACAGTTAGCTTGTCTAAATGTAGGACAAATCAGAAGTTAACTCGATAGTTTGTGTAAATACTACACAATTGTTTTTTTTTTTTGTAATACTGTCATAATACTGCCACTAACAACAACAACGACAATAATAACAATAATAGTGGATTGCTCAAAACTGATGGATGATATATAGGTGATTTACAGTGTATAGACACGTGTAAAGGTATTTTCATTATTTCAAGGTAATGGAGTTCAAAAAAGATTATAAATCCAAGATTAGCCCGAAACTGTTAGACGGAAACGGTTAAAATCTATGACCCCACTGAATGCGATGTTTTGGCCCCTCGGCTTTTTCCTGTCTGTTAAGAATTGTATCATAATATACAACAGTACCACAGAGTGAAGACTATGGTGAATCGCAGCCTGTGTTGTCTACGACCTACATTCATTCATTTCAACAATAATAACAAATACATTAAGGATTTAACCGCAAAATAAACTGAATTCATATTCAGTAGTAAGATTGTACAATTAGTCACAGGAATAAAACAGGCAGTAAAACCCCGAACCGACTTTAGTTTTATTTTACTGTTTATTAATTTCCGAAAAAGAAGATAATATTTGACGTCACACGGAAGGAGAGAAAAACTAAAATGTATTCATCCTTTATTTATCTAACTGTTTTCGGTTTTGTCTGCGTGTGAAAAAATTAAAAGTTTAAATTTAATTGTGTTTAAAATATACCCGAATATATATGAGAAAGCGCTGACGAATAATGGAAAAACACGAATCGACTATTAGATATTATACTATTCAAGAAATTGTTTGCTAAACTTTAGTGAACCGGATTTTGAAACGGATAAGCATTCTCTTCTTAATGCAATAATAATAATAATAATAATAATAATAATAATAATAATAATAATAATAATAATAATAATAATAATAATAAAACAGAACTGGGTAAAAAATAAATGAACGTCACACGAAATACCAAGACACGAAATATAGATTTAATTATGCTGCCCAAGAATCTGCATTATAAACAGTAATGAGAAAGGAGGGAACTGGACCGTATTTTAATATATCTTTGGTCTTTATTATAATAATAATAATTATTGTTATTATATTGTTATTATTATTATTATTATTATTATGTGAATTGTTTTTGTATATTATGTTTTTTGCAAAATTCTTGTTTACTTGTATTAGTACAGTAGTGTAAGTGATATATCATTTGCATGTATCTTGGTTTAAATCTTTCGCTTATTACAAAGAGATTGTTTTTCGAGTTGCTTTGTACAGAAGCTTAATTATTGCGTTTTTTATCTAGAGGTTTTCATTTCTAATGAATTTTGTTTTAAAACTCCCCTTAAGATTTGTAAGAAGGCCGGATTAAATGAAAGTAAATACTACCGGAAACCTGGTTAATTAAGTCCGATCTCCAGCAGGTTGCCGCGTGACATCCCCTACGGCCCTTCTGTTAAATGATGTTCATCTGATACCTTAAAGCAATTAGAGACTTCATTACTTCTGGGAAAGGGTCACGTGACTCCAGACAAACTAGAAAATTGTAATAGAATATAATATACAATCCCATATAATAAAATTCTTTTGACTTTTGTTTCTATTTTTATAACGCATATTTGTCCAGCTTGGTGAAAACTTGGAACTGCGTAAAATACTACCATGTTTATGAGTAAATAAAGAAATGCAGAATAAATTATTTCTGTATTTTGCATGTAGACCTATAGTATAGTTCACTTCTCTCAAACATTTATATTGGAAATAAATTGTACACATGCAACTTTTCATTGAAAACTAAATTTGCCTCTGAAAAAGCATTTGATTTGTAGCAATTATGTACAATCTAACCATAATAACATCTTCAGAAATGTAAATTAACAAGCAGCAAAAAGCCTTTTGAATTCTACTTGATAATCCAAAATAATTTTTAAATATATCTTGTAACGCAAAGTTTTAAGATCAAATTTTGAAGCCAGCAGAGTTGTTACGAGCGACCCTTTCTCCCAAAGATTCTGCTGTCTCTTAATGTAGCCTATACGCAACAGTCGATTTTTTTCGTGCGCCGATTAAAGAATTCATTTTATATACATGAAATAGGCCTATTATTGACAACTAATGTAACCACTGTCTCCTCTAATCAATATCACACATCTAAACGTTTATAACGAATAACCGTTTTCAAGACTAACGAATAATAAACGAAACACATTTTTTTGCAATGTCATTATAAACAATTATAAGCGTAACAGTCAGTTTAACACTTAAGCCAACTGGTCTGCATATTGAAATATTTCATAAACATCAAAAGACTCAAGGTCCGACGCCGGGTGTAATTCAAAACATTTCAGATCCATCTGTGGGTTTCTCACGCAGAATAACATAAAACCTAGAATCAGTGAGCCAGTAATATTGTTGATTTTAATAGCAATATGCTATTACTATAGCAGTACCACCCAGCTAGCAAATTACGAAACTAATATTATAAAAAATGAAGCATTAGAACAAGTAATCGCAGATCTTTTAGGTACACTCAGCAAGACATGAATATGATAATCGGTATAGGATGAAAGTATGACTAGAAACTAGTACAAGTTACTATCCAACTATTCCATCTGTTTGGGGCTGAAGCATTAACGTGATTTATTGTAATTATCCTGATTTTATTATGCTATAAATCAGGCAGCCCGAGGAGCAGCAGAAGGTCTGAATAACAGTGGGGATATTAGTACCCGCAGTGTGAGACAGCGTGTGTGAGGTTAAGGCTTCATAGGCAGGTATCACACCCCGGTCTCCCTTCTTCCCTTATTCTCTTCCACCCCGTTTTCAGTAATAGAACGTTGTATTGGTGTTTAGTGGAATATTCAATGTCACGGGGTTGAAAACTCTTCGGTGGCCAAAACGTGACCAGAGCGGGAGAATAAGGGAGAGAGCGCGAGGGAGGGCGAAAGAGAGAGTGCCCTTTGTTCTGCCCTTAGCTGGCAGATAACATTCCGAGGGAAATTCCTGGACTCTGACGAAGGACGGGGAATGCGAGAAAAGGGCCAGCAGATGCATATTCATGCACTCAGGGATATTTTGCCTAATATGATGTCAGGATTAAAGGGGTGGAATATATTCCGTAGCCTAATGAATTTTCAAGTGAATACTTATCCACTTATACTCCAACAAATTATGCAGCGTACATTTTTTCCCTGCATTTTTGGTAAAGCGTGACGTTTTGCTGCTTTTTCACATGTTTTTTTGCGAAAATGGCCCCAGGTGTAAAAGTTGAATTTTATTGGTTTTCTTTGACAAATGGCCACAGCTTGCCCATTGGATGACAGGCACTGCAATAAGACCAGATGTCATCCAATTGTAAGGCTGCAATATGCAGGTAGTTTATTCATACGGAAAGCCAAAAGCCAAAAGCCAGGGCAGGCCGACTCCGCGATCCTGCTCATACCATAAAGATGAATGATCTAATAATAATACCATTGAGCAGTTATTTACACAGGGGTTTGGTTTCAGTAAGCAAGGTGGAAATTAAAATATTATACTGAATAATCAAACTGGTATGTTGATAAAGTTGTCAATTTAGGATGATGTTTCTTTGTTAAATGGCTGCATTAAGCACCCTGTGGGACGTGCAGCTGAGGTAGAGTTACAGTAATCCTGAAATCCAAGGGACCTCATAGTTTAGAGTGCGCATACAGGGCTTATATTATGGAATCAAACACGTAGCCTCACTATCTCCATTGTGCTGTTCATCATGCTTAATAGTTTATCTTGTAATTGAACACAGTATCACAACACAAGCCGCAAAATTTGATATATTTATAACGGAGCTCAGTAGCACAATGACATTACAGATTATTCAAGTGTGCTTTATGACGCATAATTATAAGTGATTACTATCTCTATGGACCCCGGAAGAGTTAATAAAATTAATTCAGCATGCTGACCTTTTCTCTCTCTTGTTCCAATTTGGAAATAAATTGGTGCAGCTGCACAACGTTTAAATGGGTCGCTTTTCTCTCGAGTGTCTGTGACTAGCGATGAATTCCTTCTTTGTGTTCCTACCACTGAATTCCCTATTCTTTTATACCCTTTTCTTGTTGCTGGTGAGGATGGTGGTGGAAGGGGTAGGTTGGTTTGAGTGTTGATTATGGTGGCAGGGGGCAAGAAGTTGGACTTGGTTTCAGCGCAGCTGGGGAGGGCAGAGGGAGAAGAGGGAGATTTGATGGGGTGGCCAGGCGGCTGGGGCGCTCATAGCATTTCAGGCACCATGAATGCCCTATTGTACAAGTTCGGTCATATCGGCACTGGCCAACCAAAGGGGAAGAATCCAGTTACCTCAATTGTGTGTTGGATACATCTAAGGGAAATTGATAGGAGGGCGGAGCCATCCCAAGAGTTGTGTGTGCCTGTGAGGAAGGTGATTAGAACTTGGACAGCTTGTCAAAAAAAAATTGGGTACATTTCTGATTTCCGGTTCTGCTTGGCTTTCAGGCAGGCATTCTTGTGAGGGTGGTATATCAAAGCGGGTTCCTCACTCATGACCAGTAGCTCTGCGTTCCTTCGGTCCAGTTCCCACGCTCAGCTCAACCATCTGATAGTACCGGAATGTTCCTCTAACTCAGAGGTCTCAAACTCCAGTCCTGGAGGGCCAGAGCCCTGTGTAGCTTAGTTCTTTCCCTGTTCCACCACAAATGTTTCAGCTCAAGAGCTGTGTGGTAATTAGCACAAGGAGTTGAACCAGCTGTGTTAAATGAGGGTGAACCAAAAACTGTGTAGGGCTCCGGCCCTCCAAAACTGGAGTTTGACACCCCTGCTCTAACTCTTTCCGATGCTGTTGATTTGAATAGAGTGAAGGATGTTTCTTAATGCCCATATGAAGCTATCACCCTTTCTGTTGCACCTCAGTCCTCAATGTACACTTGCTCCCTAAGTTCAAATTGATCATTTTCAATCTAGACATACAGTGTGGCCACATGCCACCCCCACCCACCCCACCTCATACTCCGTGCCAGCCAGTCCCCAGTTTAGAGCGCTCTCTGTGGACTCCCCGCAGAGTCTTAGACCCCTCCCCCCAGCCCCCTTGGTGTCAGTCTGTGTGCTCTCCGTCTTCCCTGCTCCTACAAAAGCCTGTCTGCTGCAGCTGGCTGAAACGGAGCACGACATTGAGAAAAAGAAGTGAATAAAGTCAATGGGGCCATTTTCCCCTATTTATCCTGTGAACTGAAAAATCAATCACCTCCTATTACCCCCCCTCCTTACATTATCTCTTCACAGATGAGAATTGCTTTCCTTCTGTGTGTGTGTAAAAGAAAGAGGGATTCAATACATTTAGTATAAACATGTCTAATGTGTTCATTCAAATTGACTGACAGCATCACTGCTGGACATTTTACTGGAGCATCTCAGGGTAGGTACTATACTACAAGGTATCACAGTAAGGATCCTAAGTAGAAACCTCAGGTTGATGGACCTAACCACTATACTCCTGTGCCTAACCACTATACTCCTGTGCCTAACCACTATACTCCTGTACCTAACCACTATACTCTAAAGTCTAAGAAATTAATATATATATATAATCAATACTTCAATAATGAGAGCAATTCTTTAACAATGAAAGAGTCCATCAGGTAATTGGAGCGTTGCTTTTAAAGAAGTGGAACTAGTTTATTTAATGAGGTGCAATACTGTGCTGTGTGAAACTGTGAATATCTGCCATTCTGCACTGACTTTTCCTGGGTAGAATTAAAGCAGGTGTAATTAATGGAGATGAGTTTGAAATGAAACGAAAGTGAATTTACAGTGAGCCGAGAGTCTGTCAAACAAACCGAAGTACAACACTAACAAAGTCAGACTTAACCTCGTCTTTAACACATGCCATCACTAACCCCCCCCCCCATCATAAAATAAGGTTGAATTTTTTCCTTTTTTATTTTGGTGCAGGAAAAGTGTTAAAGAACTTTAGTCACTCACAAGCTTTGAAGTGTGGCTACTCACCCCCCTCCATGAGCTGAAAGGAGAGAGGTCATCAACCTCCATGCTGATAAAAGACTCCCAACCCCTATCTAGGCTATAGGGCAGTGTGTGGGGGGGTGACCCTGTCCCTCCCCCAAGAACGTGCATCCAACGTGCCTCGAACCACTTTAAAGCTGACTTTGGCACTGACATCTCGCATTGTGACGTCACCTGGTTATGCTCATGTTCGTGGCCCTTGGGCCATTAGTGTCCCTGGGATGGGTCAAGAGCTGACGGCCCCAGAGTGCCAGACAGCGGTGGCGTTTGACTGCGCTCTCCCGCTGCGGGCGTCCTGTGTCCTGCATGTCACTGAGCTCTCCCCAGCCTGCCCAGTCACAGTCAAAGATCAGTTTTGATCAGGCATATAGGTCACACTGAATTAACTGAGAAAATCAGTCACCTAATTCTGACAGAACAAATGAAGAATGAAAGAAGCAGCAGCACTTTGAAAGAGATCAAATGATTTTTCTTAGCTGGTAAGGTGACTATAGACAGGGTATGGGCAAAACAAAGGAAACAAATATTAATTTACTAATATCAAGGACTTAAGGAATAGGGCCACCCTAATTTCGAAAAGCTTTAGCCTTTCTAGGAATTATGCTATAGAAGTCTTGAGCTTTGTGAAGGGTCTTTGAGGGATGGTGATGGTAGAAACCTACTTTGCACTCTGCATTCCAGAACTTTCCATAAAAATTCAATGACGATCAGGGAGGCTGTAGGTGTTCGTGAAGCAAGTCTTTAATATGTTTAGCGGTCTGTATGAGGGTGTTAGTATGGGACCACCATGAAGAAACAGGGTTTGCACCATAGGGTATACTGTACATTGTTCTACAATGGCCTCATATTCCTTAGTCACAATGACCAAGGAGATCCCTCATGAGACTTAATGACGTCCATGAGATGGTTGACCATACTAACAGATATTTTAAGCTGAAAGCATCGTTTGGCTTTTGTAACCCATCTAGATGTAGGGCACTGGGTCAAAGCTGAGTCATCAGACTATATTACTCCTTTCCATTGCTCAGGGATTCAGGTTTTGTGCATTTTACATGAGGTTATGCATCCATGTATACCAGGGACTTCCAAATGGCCGCTTTTGAAGCTCATGCCTTATATCTTTTGTTTAGACTTGGTCACAGAACTGCACTTTCGTGGCATTTACTGTAGCAATCATCCTCCTCAAAGCCTATATCTGTTGCTGGAGAGTTTCAAATTATGACCATTATTCATTTGTGACAATGCAGTTTGCCTGTGTTTTTTTCTTTATGATTTTTGAGAATGTTTCTTTGACAAATAACAATTTAGTTTTTTTCCGGACGCTGACTTCTTTGGCCTCTTTGTCAGGTCTCTGTAGGTGACACATCCTTGGCATTCAGCCTAACATGAGTCATCTGCGTAGCTGCTTTTCAAATAGTGATTTTGCTCCTTCAGAGTTTAAGGTTTTTTCACAGGAGGTGTTTCCATTGTTTTGTCTACCTCCTGATTGCATGACATGGGGAGTCAGGAGTTGTGTATTAAAATAGACGCTTCGTGTCATGCTGACAGTATTAATATCTGTTTACCATACAAAGATACTCCTCAAGTAACAAGATACTCCTTCTATTGCACAATTAATACTTTACACATTTACTCAAGCATTTATTAGCATACCTAACTTTTATCTGTTATTAAGAGTTACATGGCTAAGGATGTCTTTCTTTAATAGTAGCATATACCTGCAGTCCTTATATAAACTCAGTATTTGGCTGTCTCAGTCAGCTTGTTAATAGGCTTCATATCGCTGATGGGTTTTCTCAGGACCTACCAAACCAGTGTCTTGACATGTGGGGGGGCATTTTTACCCAACAAGATTACCAGCTTTTTTTAATTTAAGGTATGCCAATGGTTCAGTTCCAGTTATGCCCTGGCCTCTGATTTGGACCTCTGATTTGAGCCTCTGTTTTGGGCCTCTGATTTGGGCCTCTGATGGAGTTCAAACAGACCTTGCCATAGCTGTCATAGTCCCGCTCTTGCTGTTTTCTCACTCAGTCATCCAATTAATCCAGTTTAGGCAATTAAGTAATTGAAGGTATGCCTGTCGTCGCAGATTCTGAGATTAACTTATCAGGGTCTCCAGGCTGAATTCCAGCATCATTACCTGGGTATCATGTGGTTCAGGTCAAAAAACTGAGGAGACCTTCATTAACTGGAAGCCTCCCACAGGCCTGTTCGCTTACTTTTCTTCCAGTTTTTTTTTTTTGGTGTCTTCCTAAATATGAATACTCCTTGCTACAGCTATCCCCTTGAATCACATTCACGCTCGTAGCAGATTCCATCTTGGGTCAAGAAAAGAAGCTGCTTTTCAAACACTGTGCATCTGGTGCAATTTCAGAGCGCCCTGTCGTGCCATGTGATATGGAGAACTGTTTTGTTCAGGTTCACCTGGTTGTTGGGTCAGAGCCTACGTGAGCACTGTGGCTTATTCTGTTGTTTTTATAGTCAGGGGGATGGTTGCACTGTCGTTCAGTTTTCAAGGTGTGAGCTTGTCTGGTCAGATATCACCATGTTCCAAATAGGGTTTTTGGGCTAAATATTTATATATGTTTGCAACCAGTTGGAAATGTGATAGCTGAGCGAACCTGAAATATGCCTTCTTTCCCTATTTCACTCAAGGCAACTCTGTCTGGCCAGAGGTTATTTTGGTTTGAAAAAAAAAATAGAAATACGATAGATGGATGAGTATGGTGGGGGGGGGGGGGTTATGAAAAACTCAAAAAGTCACTTTCCAATCATGTGTTTTCCTCAGAACATTTAATTAGGCAGCATGAAAGGAGGGGGGCCTGAGGGCTTTGAGGGCGGCCACGGAGATGCCCGAATGAAAGACTCCGTTGTTGCCGGCTTGGAGCAGAAGATGAAAGGGAAGGGGAGATGAGGGGGTCAACAGCAGCCCCAGCTCCCCCTCTCCCCCGCGGCGCTCCCTCACATCACCCATGTGAGTGAGGATTCATAACCGGGACCCACAGCTGTTTACACAGGTCACAGAGGCAGCCCACCACACTCACAGAGACACGGTGACACTCACATGCGTGCACATCACTGTGTCCATGCCATTTATTTACTTCTGAGCCCCTTACTTCCACTCAGCTTACAGCTGTCCTTAGCATTTATGCGAGCACAACCTTCAAAAGAACTTTCTAAGTGTTTTAGCAAAATTTGGAAGATGATCCCTTTCTTTCCATTTCATCAGCTTTCCTTCACGGGGTCCTGGGAGAACAAATGTAATAAGGTCTCTGCATCGCTGGTTTAACTAATCATTTTGAAAGCTGAACAGCGTGCAATCCCAATGTGTTTAGAACAATTCTAAAATACTTAAGTTTAAAATATTAAAAGTTAAACATATTTTACTTTGGTTTGATGAGGTTACTAGAATTTCTTATAGTCTATAATTTAAGCAGTTTTTGCTTATATTTCATTTACACATATTATTAGCTTTGTCTTTGATTTCATCAATAGCAAAGACCGTACTTTTCGCCAAAAACGCACCAAAAAGTATAAACACTGTTACAGCATCGCTGGACGTTCAGGCTGCAGGTCGGACTGGCTGGTGTCACAGCGACTGTTGGTGTGAGATCTACACGGCCCCATGACACCTGAAACCTGGCTGTCAGACCGCCCACTAAGAGGCGGCTTGGACGTCAAGAGCTCTGGTTCAACTGTATATCAAACATGAGACCCTATGCTCACATCCATGCATCTTAAAACTGCTCATCCACCTTATTATTATTGCCTTAGATAAGAACTCACACCAATGTGTGCGGCTACGAATTAATGAGCTTTTGTGAGATAGGAGATTTATAACCATATAAGATAAATATAATAAGATGTGTCTGTGCTCTTTCCTCTGAGGTTCTTCTCCGAGTCGTCATGCATCCAGAGCTCACACCGGGCTTAAGATCCGTCACCTCCCTCGAGGACGTCAGCGCCTGCCGTGATGTGTCAAATTAAAAACTCCATCTCTGGAGTTTCTATTTAAAACTCGACATCCAGTCGCCAGTCGGCGGAGCTGCGGCTCTCTCGCGAGATTCGACACTTCTGCAGCTGACAGGTTTCATTTTGGGGTCTGGCATGTATTTAAAAAGACCTGCAAGCCTCCAGAGTTAAGGACAGTCAGAATTTTCAGGTCATGGGGGGAAAGAAGTACAAAGGTTGTCATTATTAGATACTTAGACTGCCCAGTAAAACCTTTCACTGTGCCAGTATGCATATAACTCATGTATAAGATCTATACTTTACCTGTGGAAGAAGTTTTTATATTTCTTGTTGCTGTGACAACTGTGAGCTCAGGCATACCCCGGGACAACAGCGGGGTCCTGATTTGCTTGCAGATGATCTGGCTCTTGCCGGCCACCCACCAGACAGAACATACTTGGCTGAGCTGAGCTGACTTGGCTCGGTCTCCCCTGGCTTGTTGCGGCATGCCGGAGCATACATGAGAATTAAGAGTAATTTGTACCGAGACTTAGTGTCAGACTCCTTGCCATGTGTTACGCGCCGGTAATTTCCCCGTCTCTGGCGTCTCTTACTGCCGCTGGCATGTTGTTGTGTTGGATATAACTGCACAGACAACTTTCTTGAAAGATACGATAATTACAACCCAGGAAAGACAATCCTCCATCTCACTAGTAATGCTTATTCTGGGCCAGTACTCTTGAGGTAAAGGAAAACAGCGTCTGACTGTTCCTGTATGAACATACAAGACGTCCCACATATCTGTCCTATAATACGGCTTCCTCACCCGATTTAGTAAATGGGCTCTTTCCTAGAGCCATAGTGATGGGTTAGACTGGATGTGGCAGTGATGGAACAGAATCAACTCGTATAATGGTTTGTACAGTAATGGCCCATGACCACTAGCACAGACCGTTTCAGCAGTATGGATCAATGGCGCTCTGAGAGTCAGCAAAGGGATTACACAAATGTTATTCTTTTTCTCACCTGAGAACCAATTCCCATCAGCGGCAAATATTTGTGGAATCTGTAACCTCAGCCCTTCTATTCCGGGGTCTCTGTACGTGACAGTGAAGCAGAGACTGATCCTATGATTAAGCGATGCAGAAATGAGGAAGAGCTGTCAGATAAATAGGCTGATGTTTTTATGGTGTTTCTCAACTAGCTTGACTTTGAGAAGCTTTGGTTAATGATACATACAAAACAAAACTGTGCACAAAGTATATGAAACATAACTGTGCACAAAGCATACAAATTATAACTGTGCATAAAGCATACGAAACATAACTGTGCACAAAGCATACAAATTATGTCTGTGCATAAAGCATACGAAACATAACTGTGCACAAAGTATATGACACATAACTGTGCACAAAGCATACAAATTATAACTGTGCATAAAGCATATGAAACATAACTGTGCACAAAACAAACGAAACATAACTGTGCACAAAGCATTCAAAATATAACTGTGCACAAAGCATACGAAACATAACTGTCACAAGTTCCTGTGCTACAGCACCCAGTGCTGCGCCAACCCTGCGAAACCGACCACACTTGTGGAAATTTCCCTCTGGGATGCCAAGAATGCCATATGGCAGAAGCAGCCGATGGGCTGATCTCCGAACACCAGGAAAGTACCGCCGTGAATATGGGCAATTGAGGAGATCAGGTTAAGAAAAATCCAAGAGGATTACAACACATCCATGAGGGTCTGTGAGGATCACAAATTGGGTATTATACTCCATGTTGGTGCGAGGCGCTGAGGTACAGGGTACCATGTGACAGGAATGGATAGTGATGGATTCATAATCTACCCACACCTCTACAGTTATGGAACTTGCGTTCGTGTCGCGTTCCACCATGCATAGGAAGAAATACCACAAGCCAACGGCAGAGAATTCTGGGGAAGAGGTGAAAATACAGCTTTGTGTGGCGCTGTCGAGTAAAGACGGATAACCCAGTATGTCTCAGGAGTTGCTACAAAGGGGGACTGACTGCTAAATTTATTGGATGGATTTGTAGCCGGCTCATAGATAAAGGATGAGGTGGGAGGACAAGAGGTCAGGATTACTGACGCCTGGGACAACGGCCGTGTGTCTGTGCTGCTCCCTCCCAGCGCAGTCCCGCTTCCTGGACGGCATTGAAGGAGCCACGCAGGAATATTTACAAGGCCGGGGACACCCTACATGTGGCGACAGGCCATCACAGAGAACACAGATGGACACATTCACACATGCAAGCATGGGATCCGGGCCCCCAACCCTGGATATAGCCAATAGGAGCCGCCTCTTGGATTTCCGCTTACTGGTATGGAATGGGACTGTATCAGTGTAAACGTCGGTTGAAATGGTGATCAGCGACCAGGGCTTACAGGAAGTTTGTGAACCACCACTTCAGACAGTTTGAATTGGTCTGGGACAAGTTTTTAGGTCATATTAAATCCAGCCCACAGATCCACCTTTTTCCACAGAGATTTCCACAAAATTATCAGCCCAACTAAAAAGCTGCCCCCCCCCCCCCCAGGGTCAGCTCATTGGTTGGCAAGACTTAAGGCCTGCTGATTAGGGGGTGTTTGATTACTCGATATTATCCTCCATGGCGATAGTTTCAAATTTAATCCAATATCTTCTTAGATTTCTATAATTTGGTTAATGATTTTAGACATTTGAACTGTTGTGTATTTGTTTAAAAAATAAACTATGTGATTCAAACCGAATCATGCTTTATCTTTCTCATTTTTTACATTCTGGTCAATAACTAACCTCTTTTCCTTTTTCCCGCTCAGTGTGGTTTCAGCCATTTAATTCAACATTCATAGATCTGCGAGCATAGAGAAACACCGGAAAAAGGGAGAAATGACAGAGGGAATGCGCGATTGGACAGAAGAGGAATCCATCTTTTTTTTCAGCAGTATGTGGAGCCGCTCCGTGCGACACAATCATCCTCTGTTGAAATCCACAGAGGGACAATGCACAATGGGTCATTATGAGCCCCAGACCCCATTAACGGTCGCCGCAACCCACTCCCTGTTTAGCGCCCCATTGGAAGCGCGGAAGCGCCAATAAAACCTTCAGCTCAAGTCTGGAAGTGGCAAGTCAGCCCCTACGTTCTGTTCTGCCAAAACTGCTATAGCACTTGTTTAATAGATGAGGGCACCAGAGGTCTGACGGCTGCCCCGCGTTTTTGAGACGGTCGGAATGTGACTGAGTAACAATTCAAAAAGCGGGATGAGGGACTGCAGGGAAGGGGTAATAACTTGTTAGATAAACGACAGGATGGTCGTAATAAAATTAAATGGGGAGGAATCAAGCAAATTAAATTATTGGTAACGTAGACAAGGAAGGTGATTAACCGATGGCTGATTAAATCATGTACACTAAGTGACCCAAGGATTGACATAATGGTCTAACCTTGCAAGATTTTAATGCTGCCTTCAACGCGTAGAGATATGCCTGCATACACCCCCACATTGCACAAACAAACGCAGTATGTCATAGCTCTTCGTTTTTCCTTTTCAGACTGAATTTAGTGACATCTAAGATTTTTTTGTCCCTAAGCATCTTCATTGTAATGTTAATAATTTTACATGTTTTACATGAAATACGTAACTAAGCTGGCCGAACTTCCATGGACTCACCGTGGATTAATTTTACGGGCAACATTTTAACTGCCACTAGAGGGCGTCTGTTTTCTACTTTTTCGGCATTAATATTTTGCCGGCGCTTTGGGAGAGTCTTCAGGGTCATCTAGTGGCTACGAAGGCATAAAGCAATATGAGTAACATCGTGCTCATTTTCTGCTAATCTTCCTCCACCAGAATCTACGAGACGTGGCTTGTTGGTTCCGGTACCAGTGTTCTGTTGGTACGGTCTCTAGCTATAATATGCACGTTTCCCCACTTAACATTTTCTACATGTTCACCCACATGTATGTCTACATATGCAAGATATTGCATTTGATTGAAAGTTTTGAATATAGACGTACAATCATGAAAATATGAAACAAATGCCGTTTAATTGTGATTCATATATCCAGACCAGGGAACTCCTAGCCTAGAGGTCGAAAGAGGTCAGGTCAGAGGGAGGCTGTGAGTCTCCTTTAATTTTGATACAAATATAGAGATTATTTATGATTTAATAAATCATTAAACAGTATTGGAGTATTTTTGCTGTCATTCTACAAAACATATTACTTTTATCGTATACCACACTTCAAAGCACCAAACGGGTCGAAGCGTTTAAAAATGATTTCATGGTTCACGTATTACAATAATATATTAAAAAGTGAAACGGAAAAGAAAATAATATTACAAATAACTGCAGGGACGACATTGCATGCAATATTTTAACGTCCGCGACATAGCTATCCTTTTGCGCTGCTTTTTGACATGCATGGCTAACTAACGCACATATATGTTCCTGTGGGTGCTCGTCCTTTTAACATAATCAGCCTGCACATTGTTACAGTATAAAACCATTTATTTTTCTGTTTCATAATGTGAAAGAGACTGTGGCACTTTTTGTGTGCCCGTGTTTGCATGCAGCAGTCACGAATCTCATGCATAAAGAGTCCTTGGATGAAGTAAGCTGGGGATCCTATGGGCTGGAGTAAGGAAATATTATGCTGTTATGGATGGATCATTCATACGTAAGAAACGTAGTATTACACTGACGCGAACTGGTTAATGGGAAAAATACAAATATACAGATATTATCGAAATCTGAGACCCAAGCGTAGCGAATGCCCACGCTGCTCGTTGTGAAACATTTAATAAATATGATTTATTATGATTTATTCTATAGGCCTATTACCCATTTTTAATGACAATATGTGCTTGACAGCTTGATAGGGTACTCTGCTTAATGGCAAAAAAGGTTATTTTTGTGGCTTGTTATTTAAGTTCTGATTTCCTTTTCTTCGGGGAGGGCAGGGAAGGTGTGTAGGAAGTGTCCGCAGTGACATGTCTGTTTCTTACCGGGGACGGGGTTTGCCTCTCATCCCAGATCCGACTCTCTGGAGTTGCGCTGCTCTGCCTGCATTCGCATTGGTCTCTTCTAGATGCCTGGGTTTGCTTCAGACTTATGGGGATACCGGTGATCCAGTGTTATCCAGACAGCTTCGTGCGCATTGCATGCTGGGATGCGCTCCACATAGACCCGGCTAAAATGAATGAATGTTTATCGCTGGGAAAAAATAGGCTTGTAAGAAGCTTACAACTCCAAGTTACTCAAGGGACCCTCGAGTAAGAAATCTGAATCACCACAGCAAGTAACCACATTTAAAAATGGATATTTGTGTATTGGTGTTTTAAGAACATTATTAAATATGTGACTTCCAGTAAGTCAGCCAGTAAGTAATGCGATGTCTTTGTTTAACAGCACTGTGGCCTCCTATCTGCAGAACCGTGGGTTTGATTCATACCATCTGCTCTGTGTGTGTGGAGTTTGCATATCAGAGTACACAGAACATTATACCACCAAACCAAATCTGTACTGAAATTCTTAGCTTCTCAAAAGGTTTTTCAGTACTTACTGGGAGTTAGTGTGTTCTGTTCTGCATTGTTTATGTTTTTTCCTGGCACTCTGGATTCCTCCCACAATCCAAAAACAGGGTTAGGTTAACTAGTGTCTCTAAATTGCCCGCAGTGTGTTTGTGTGTGTGAGTGTGAGTCCCGTGATGGACAGGCGTCCTGGTTAAGGCTGATCTCCTGCCTTGTACCCTCTGCTGCCTGGGAAAGGCTCCAGGCCCCCTGGAAACCTGGACTAGCAGTAGGAAGATGGATGGATGGATGGATGGATGGATGCACTTTGTGCACCTGCCCTATTAAGGTCTGCGATGTCAGTGCCAGATGCCTTTGATTGTGGTGGGAGAGTAATTTATTAGAATACCTCTTTAGTTGTGCAGTTACCCTGGCATGTTTCGGAAATGCCGAGCTAATGGATATTCATATTTAGTTTCTGGAAAACAGTTTAAGTTCTGATTTGTTATTTAATTTGCCTGCATTCATCAGCTGTTCAAATAGAACATAGTTTGCACTTCCATCAGCAAATGGAGGCTGCATGTAAGATAAGATAAGATGAGATAAGATAAGATGAGATAAGATTAAACTTTATTCATCTTGTCAGAAATGATTGTACCAAGTCATAGCTCACAACGTGCAAGATTAAAACAACAAACAACAAAAATATTAAATATAACAAAGAATACAAGTATGAAGACAAAATGAAGAAAAGACAAGTATGTAAGAAGGTAAGTAACTAAAGCAGTTGTGTGCCTATGCAGAATGGTGCATACAGTGCATGTTCACGCACATGCTTGTGTGCTTTTGTTTATGCACCAACTTCATGACTTCACACATGATCATTTACATATTCATGCAAGGAGCCAGTGTGATGCTGACAGCATGATGCACTTCCAGACGAATGTCATTACTCCTTTGCACTTGCAGACGAATGTCATTATTCCTTTGCACTTCCAAATGAATGTCATTACTCCTTTGCACTTCCAAACGAATGTCGTTACTCCTTTGCACTTCTAGACGAACGTCATTACTTCTTTGCACTTCCAAACGAACGTCATTACTCCTTTGCAATGCATTACTTGTCAAGTTTTCAAGTTTCGAGTTTTATGTTTTATTGTCGTGTGTTTGGAGGAACACGGTGAAATTCATATGCTTCACTTGCAGGGGAAGTGACAGGTGCTTGGTGGGGGGGCAGGGGACACAGCACTGCAAATTGTCTCCATCAAACAAAAACACATCTGTTGTTGTGCCCCCCTTCCCCCCCACAGGAATCATATTTTTCACCTTTTGTGTTCATTACATTGCCATTTAAGGTATTCTGCTTCACGGTTGTTTGAGCTGTAGAGGGACGCGTGTCTCATAACCTACATGTTTTTCCAGGTGAGCACAGTTATTAAGATGCTTAATGACAATGATTAATATTACCGGTCCTCAGCGCCTTCATTCCTGTCCTTCCTCTGCTTACGACCTCATGGCAGCTTTTCACTGGGCTGGAAAGAGTCCTGGTGAGGTAATGGTCTCTCTGCCAATGACTTCACCCGGCCGTGTGCCCGTAGAGGAGGCCTCACCACTAACCGCCCAGACCGCGAGTGTGCGTGACTGCTTCCGCTCATTGCTCTGCTCTCCCCTAGGTGACATGCTGCCTTACCTTATCTTCCCGTCCTGAAGGTTAAAGGTAACAGCAACGAATAAACCCAGTCATCACTCTGCTTGTATTGCAATGTCATTGCTTTTACTTTTCGATTGAGTGCAAATATCGACACAGTGCCTCCTGCTGAAGGCAAATAGAGAGTTTCAAAACACATTTCAAGCAACTTCCTCAGTTCTTTGGTCTGTTACACTGTGTTTGGATATTAGCTGACTTTCTTGAATGCCCAGCAGTCTCTATCATAAATGTATAAGGTTAGTGACAACCTTTTGCACTAGACTGTTGGTCGCCAGTCTTTTATACAGTGACAGCTACTAATACAAAGAAAACAATCAATTGTGATGGTTTATTTTACTGATTGGGGGGAGGGGGGAGGCTGAAGCTATCAAGATTGAAGACAAATGTCTTAAACGTGAACCTGTCCATCGTGATCGACTGGTTGGCGACCACTGCAGTAGGAACTCATGGAGCAGCAGTATTTGTGTGGCATATGTTGTGCATTTTCACCATTGCTGTACTAAACGTAAATGTTATGAGTGTTTTACATTGATTTTGTGTTCACGTCCAACTTGATCTTTTTTCAGTGAATAATATAGGGGGCTCACAAAGCAGTAAGTGTCATTCCTCTCCAGCGGGGGCTCGCTGCTGTACTGCTCAGCTACATTCATAAGATGCTCGTGAAATGAAGAGTGAAGTCCTGACTAGAGCTGCATTCAGAGATATTGCATAGCGCTGCCTGCTTAGAACAGTGTGTGAAAGAGACAGGTGTGTATGCAGGATTATGGCTTCTCCCACACAGAGCTGGAACACCCCCTAGCTTACCCTCCCACCTCCCAAAATCAGAGCAACGAATAGGAGCAGAGGATGTCATGTGACCGGTTGTGGACAGGTGGGAACCCACAGATGGACCGTCTGACCTTTTGCTATCCCGGATCACGCAGATAGACCCTCTCTCTCTCTCTCTCTCTCTCTCTCTCTCTCTCTCTCATTTTACTGCACATACATGAAATGTTGATCATACCCCTTGGATCATTCTGAATGGCGATCGATGGACAAATCTAACTGTAGATAAATCATGACATACTGGACAACAATGACACTAGAAACTATTTCTGTAGCAATGGCAACAGTAGGAGCAGTACTTGAGTTTGGCAGAAAAAATAGGTCAGTGCTAATAGTCATGTAATTAATACTAGATGTATTATTATCAATAGTACTTTTATTGTACAGCATATTATCAGTCCATAATATTCTGTAGCAATTATACAAATAATGAAGAAAGAACAGAACTGAACTGTGAGAAGAAAAGTAATCAATCAAAAAAGCATTCTATAAATATCTATACAATATAAACATTTATTTTCTTGTTTGCTTATTTATTCATTTATTTTTACAACAGCATTTACAGACAAGAAATAAAGTGCTTATTTCGTGCTTCTGTCTGGCATACGTATCCGGATGACCTCATCATTTTTCCATCGATGTCGCTGTTTCCCCTGTCCGTTTCTCATTTTTGCGTCCTACTGAGTTTTGATACGGGTCATAAGGGGGTTTGGGCGCTAAGTTATATTTACAGTAACGTGTACAAATCAGGAAGACTTTACCGCTGAGAAAAGCAAACGAAGCGTGAAAATGGATATTCAGTCCACAATTATAAAAGAATCGCGAAAGCTGCAGCAACGTACAAACTCGTGTATTTGCATTTTACGTCTTTGTGATTCTAAGGGAAACTCGTCGCCACTGGTATATCGGCACAAAGTGTCATTTGGACATTTTATTTAAACTTTAATATTAATGGGTCTGAATTCTAAAAGCAAACACCGAAAGCATTTCATTACTCAGAAATTATTTTTGTAAATTAGCAACAATCGGTTTATTTATGTGATAGTAACGATAAACATTTATTCAGGTGTTAAAGAAAATGTATAAAATCAAATGCTAAAATGGAGGGTGCATTTTTAAGAGCTATATTTATATGATTACATATGGTTGAGATCAGTGTGGGTCAAAGCACAGGTGGCTGCCCTAAGCATGCTTCACCGGCCAGGGGCGGGGCAGCGGGGGCCACTGGCTCGAAGAGTATGTGAAGATTGCTGGGGAGTGGTGCCGGTGGATTGCTAACTCAGCACCCCTCCAGAAGATGGCGCCCTAGGTGGCCACCTGTGCCGCCGGAACTGGTTCAAACACTCCGCACACAAGCTGAATTTCCTATGCGCCCATGCATAGACACGCAGACAGTGACGGCAGACAGGAATAATCGTAAGGAAAACATCGCTGGATGCTGGCAGACACGCAGATTTAGGGTTGACGAACGTATCTGACAGATTCAGAAGCCTATATGGAGAAACGAAGTGCGATACGCGAAGTGTGAGAGATAGATGAGCTTGATTTTGTTGAAGAAATCGTGAGGAAGATGGCATAAATAAGAACGAAATCCTACTGTCAGACGCGCGCAGAAGCACACAAAACACACACTCCAGATACTACAGATATCGGGTAAAACTGTGCAATTCAATATGATCTGAATAGATGCACAGTAACCAGCTGAAATGTTATGCTGTTTTACACACTCCTGCCACGCAGAATTATAACACTACGAAAAACTTTTTAAAACCAAATAAATTTACATTCATTTACAATTCAGCTGGAAAATGCAGAAATGCATGTTAAAGAGCTTGTTTGCATACACAGTCATATTTCATGTGGTGGACACAATTTAGCAAAAATGTTAAAGTATTTCTCTTGTTTAGCTTATATGTTTTTTTGGCTTGCAGACGGGAAATCGTCCCCGGTAATTTTAGAGAGACACACTTCTGTAAGTTATATCTAGGTCTATGAGCCAGCATTAGGTAAAGATAAAATGATCGTTTTATATTTGTTTGAACGCAGCTCGATCTCTAAAATAGATTAACTTATAGGCCTATTCACGCTCACAGTGGAACTCATGAAGGTCTAATCTTCCATGGTGTAAATTGTGTTAACTTTGGCTGGGATCTGGAAGTTCTCGCAGACAATACAGCGGAAAAGCAGTGTCTCATACCTATTTTTGTCCGAATTATAAAAAATGTATTAAAAGTGACTTTCAGTGGGGCATGGCTAAGGGACAGCGCATGAGCATTGATCTTAAGCCATTTGACTGAAAATGATAAACATGCTTGCATTCATTTATGGATCCTCTTACAATTTCAAGGCTGCATTGCAAGGGAGATTTCTTTAGATCTGAAGAAGGGGAATCACCCAGTCTCACATATCATGCTTTGGACTTGTTTCCTTGCTGTTCTCAGTGAGAGAGTGAGGTTTATCCTTGAAATAGAAGCTCGGTGTCTTCTGGAAAACGTGTAAGTTTTTTGTTTTGAGAGTTTTTTCGTTTCGCTTTTCGTTTAAGTCTTTCGTCTGTTTTCACTCACAGGAAAAGAGGCTTGTTCAGAGGGGATGGTGAGTGGCAGGAAATCCACGTGGCTGTGACTGGAAGAGTACTGGTTCAAGGCTCAGCAGAAGAGTCACCTATCCAGGGGCCCTTAAACGAGACCCTTAGCCCCCCCAGCTCCAGGACTGCTGCACACTGGCTGACCTTGTGCTCTGACCCCCATGGAGAGCAAGCTGGGGTAGGTCAAGAGAAGCATTCCAGTGTGCTTGTTCTCATACTTGTGCAAATGGCAAATAAAGGATATAATCTATTTTCATTATCTTAAGGCCATCAATCAAATGGGATAGTTTGACCAGTGAAAGAACCTGGAAATGTATTACTTGGAGGACTTCTTAGCAGCCTCCGCAAGTTCCTCGTAGGTTATGATGCCACGCTGAACATGATTCAGGTCCATCTGGACCAATCAACACGCAGCACCTTCTGAGACACCCCCTCCCCTGAGATTAAGATGGAATTCAAGATGAAGGAAGGGGGCAGGGCTTTACATTTCCTGGGCCTCCCTTTGCGGCAATGGAGGGGGTGGAGAGAGAGAACTAATGAAGGGTTAACAGTGAGAGAGGGGAAAACTGAGAGGGGAAATAGGCAATAAAAAATGGCTATGAATGAATAATTGGACTCTAGATATTAGACAAGAGATGAGCACTTAAGCTCCACACAACATCTTGTGTTGGTCTAATAGAGAACTGGGCAGAAGCTTTCATTATCTCCTCTTCTCAGATTTCAGACTCCCTCCTGAAGCTCAGTGGGTCAAGAGGCAGCATCTTAAATCCTATTTGATTCTCCATGTCCATGACGCACAACATTTCGCTTGGTTGTTCTTGGTACCTCTCCTGGAAATCTACAGGGACTGTCCGCTCCTCCCCTTCTCCTCCATCTCGCTCCCTGAGCCCATCCGCTTCGTCTTCTTCCTCCCCGCAGTGCAAAGCGACCTCGTTCTCATAACAGAAGGCGCTGGGGGAGTGAGGGGGCATGAGGCGATGGGAGGTCTTGGGGCTCGCAGGCGACATGGAGCGGGAGGTTGCGGAAGATGACCTGCTGACCATCTCTTTGAGTTTCCTGGCGCTGCAGTTGGGTGTGGAGGGGACCTTGTAGGTCGTGTGGAAGCGAGAATAGTCTACCTGGTAGCGGTCTTGCTTCTCGAACACCACCGGCTCAAACCTGTGGCCCCAGAGAATCTCCCGGGCCAGGTATGAGCTCCGTGCTTGGGTAGTCATAGCTGTGGCCTCCACCATTCCCTCCAGAATCACCACAATCTCAAAGTCCTCTTTCTCCAGATCAGCTCTGCTCATGTTATATAATGGACTCTGTTCATCAATTTCGTGGACGATGACCAGTGGAGCCACCAAGAAGAGTCTATCCAGACCCTCATCATAGCCCACGTTGATGTCTGTTTGCTCCAGAGGGATATATTCCCCTTCTGCTGTGACATAGGGTCTGATGAGCTGGGCCCTCACATGGGCCTCCACGATGTGACTCTTCCTCAGGTTGCCCAAACGCCACATTAGACACAGTTTTCCATCCCTGAGAGCAACGACAGCATTGTGAGAGAACAGCAGCGTCTGGGCCCTCTTCTTGGGCCGCACCATCTTAGCCATGATGGTGCCGATCATGAACGAGTCGATGATGCAGCCCACGATTGACTGGACCACCACGGTTGCCACGGCAGCAGGACACTCCTCAGTCACGCAGCGGAACCCGTATCCAATGGTGGTCTGTGTCTCGATGGAGAACAGGAAGGCCCCCAGGAAATTGTTCACGTGAAGTATGCACGGCTTCCACGGTTGTCCTGAACCACCTCCAGACCTGCTGCCAACTCCTCCTGGTGAGAAGGAGCCTGGGTGCGGGTCAAAGTCCCCGTGGGCTAAGGCTACCCCCCAGAAGATCAGACCAAAGAGCAGCCAGGAGATCAGAAAAGTTGCGGTGAAGATCATCAGCATGTACCTCCAGCGGATGTCGACACATGTGGTGAAGATGTCTGCTAGATAGCGGCGGGGTTTGTCCTCCATGTTGTTGAAGACCACGTTACACTGCCCGTTCTTCTTCACAAACCGGCTCCGTAGGCGCCCCGAGCCCATGGTGCTGATCTTGCGCCCGTTGTAGCTGCTGTCGCTCTCTTGCACCGCCAGGGCTCCTGCGGCCCCTCCAAGCCGCCCTCCCCGTCCTCCTCCCCCCGAGGGCTCCATGCTCAGGGGGTGCTGCTGTCGGCTCAGGGAGCTGTCGCCTTCCTCGTCAGGTGACACGGTGCTGTACCTGTCATGACAGGTGAATGTCAGATACTCCTACAGAAAGACTATTCAAAACTCTCTACAATGAATTGAGAACTAATTAGAACTCTCCATCCATCCATCCATCTCCAAACCTCTTTTCCGGTACATCGCTGTGGGGATTTTGAACTATGTAGCAACATTTATTTTGATTGTTTTTCTTTTCCAGTTTTACCTTCCCCCAGTTGTGCTTATGGGATTCTTTTGACCAACTTTCTCCACAGGAAAACAATGCATAACCTGTGGGTGTGTGTGTTTATGTGTCATTGTCATGTTACAGATTATACTGGACATTAGAGAGTGTCAGGATGTCGCCCCACCAGGAACATAATAATATTAGTATTTTATCACGCATTCAAATTGTTACCTATGGTGACTGCTGCATTGTTTGTCCCTCATTAGCACCCCTATGACTGCTGAACTGTCAAATGTGCATGTGTCCTTGTCTGAGTCTAGGTATGTGACAAGATGTTGGCTTTCAAAAGACACACTTCCCGGCTGCGGGTAGCAGCTCCGGAAGCGAGCAGAGCGTCTCCTCACCTGTTTACCCGCACTGTTCCCATGAAGCTCACGGCTTGCAGAGGGTAACTGGGGCAGGGCTGTCCGGTACTGGGAACGTGATTGGACGTGCTGGGGGATGTTGGGCTGGCCAGCTTGTATGGGGGTGTGGGGAGGGGGGTGGGTAGTGGCAGTGATCTACTCAGAAAGATTGAGGACCGGCATGGTGGCCCGTGACATCGAGTCCAGGGAGATGTTTCGTGTCATTTCTACACACAATAAGGGAAGATGGAGAACTTAGGTCAGTTTCGGTCCTTTCTGATACATCTGTAAACATGTTAATATTCATTTTTCAGTTGATTGTGTTCAAATAAATATATTTTGGTGTTTATTATTACTGTCAGCTAAAGAGTTTCCTCCAGTCTCATAATATCAGAATTCATGGCTAAATTTGATAGTCGAGTCGTTGATCAGTATGAATTCAACATGGATCTAAACATCAAGGCAAACAAAAAAAAACATACTTTGTACAGCGCTGCTGCTAAAACATCAAGCAAACCAATTATTTTTTAATTCTGTACAGTTATGATTGCTGTGCAGTTGAATGTGATAATAAGATGACCTGAATTTGGGGTCCTTAATGTCCCCTCTCCTGTCTGGTAGAATGCCTGTGATTTAATTGTTCTTTCAATGGAATTTATGGCTCCCAAAGTGTCGGATCTGCCTGAAAACATCAGCATATTATAATTCTAAACAACTTTTAATGGCTTTTAAATTGACTAGCGGGCAGTCCACAGTGATACTAACTTAATTATAGAAGTTCTGACATTGATCAGAATGGCACAAAGGCTGGAATTATTTCCGTTTAATATCATCTTTCATATTCTCTACACAGCAAAGGTCTATGAAAGAAGGGATTTTTTTACTGCCTGTATTTTATGGTTTTGTCTTCATTTTTTTTAGGTTTTTAAAAACTATTTCAAAAGCGTTTTCTTTCAGTTACATTTCAGTTATAGGTTACTGTTTAAATGTAGAATTCTTTGGCAACCAAACAAGATTAATCCGTTATGTTACAGTGACACAGTGTGCTCGAGGAGTGCCTCATTATATCATTGTGTTGTTTTCCAGATATTTTTTAAATAAAATGGATGAATGGATGAATCTTTAAGACCTTTTATTACCGCTGCTTTTGGTAAATTCACCTGTGGCACAGGGTCCAATGCAGTACAGAAAATTAGCATTATGGTGCTAATATTTATTAGCATTGTGTAACTGTGACTTTCATGTTATGAATTTACTATGTGTGCATTACAGGTCAAATCCATCTGCGTACAACACATTCCCGGATTTCTGGGATTCCAGGTTCATTATGCATTGAATGCAATGTGTACCAGCCTTGTGCGTGTTATATATGATAGATACAAAACATTTAAAAATCACTGGGATTGTGCTGAATAAAAGCAAATTCAGATTCGTTATCCTGGTCAGGGTTGTGGGAGGGCCTGGAGCTGATCCCAGACAGCACAGGCCACATGGCTGGGGTCCACCCTGGATGGGATTCTAGACATTGTTCGGCACATTGTATTATACACTTACCTCTGTATTCATTGCTGAAAAGAACTATCAAGACAAACCAAGACAGGAGCTGCACTTCCCTGCTTTTTAATTTAACCGCTTCCTTATATAGCCAAATTAATTTTGATAGGATACAATAATTTAATTGCTTTTCAAACACGTTATTAAAATATATTTTCTTTTATCCCCATGACCCTGATCAGGATAACTGGCGATAAAAATGGATGAATCAGTGGATTTTTCCTTTATAATGACAAGATGTACGTTATGTACTCATACAGTGCCTAATTAAGAATGCAGGCAGCCCTGCCAGTTAAAGTGCTTTGGCAGCGTGAGGTGAGTGATGGACAAAACAGACGCCAGCTTTCTCAACCGAGCACGGTCGTGTCGCACCGCGAACAAGACCGCATCGCGAAAGAAATAGACAGTCCGCAGTCTGTCCGCGTGCCCAGTGACGATGTGCTGATTACTGAGAGCGATAACGGCTTGGAGATTCACGCATACATAACACTGTAATGTCGATCAAGGTAAAAGTACCTATTATTAGTAAGAAATCACTGCTGATGTGTCACTGATTATAAAATCTCTTCATTCTTCTATGGACAGGAGGGTACGTACGGGTGGGGCACCCTGGACTGGATGCCCGTCCATCACAGCTATCATAAACTGATTATCAAACAATAAGATGCCAAATTTACCATCATTAGGTTTCCTACTTCCAGGAACTACACTTACAATAATTTTAGAGCATAGAAGAAATGTCTTCGCAGTACAAGCATTCCTTGGAAAAATCAGTTGGGAAATGTTGTGATTCAGACTTCCGATCTCAGTCACAAACCCAGTGCACACAATGGCCCTCAGATCCAAGGTTAGCAACCTGTGTTTTAAGGCAAATAAGCTCCATTTTCTGTGCATATATCAAAATAGAAATTATTCCAAATACAGCATTACGCAAAGCATTAGCGATGTTTCACCTTTTCTGTATTTTAAGTTATTTCGCCTAAGCTGATTGTTCTGCGTGTTCCGTTAAACACCTGACGTTGTTTCAGAACTAGTTTTAATTCATAAGTTAATGCAGTGCACCGGAATATGTCTCTCAACAAAGCTCCGTTGATTGTTTTTTTTTGTCACCTTTGTGTGCTGTACTGCGACAGAGTTTCCAGGTTCCCATTATGAACTCTGGCGTCTACATCCGCCTGTGTGCACTCAGCCAGCAGCACGCTTGAGTCGCCAGCCCGCGGTCCATTAGCGTGACCTCTGGATGAACGGCTGCCCTCTCTCTCGCGCTTCATTAGCGGCTTCGCTGCTCCGTGGCACCGGCAGCCTGTAGTGGAAAGAAAAAAACGCCGGCGGAAGAGAGCGCTTTCAACTAAAGCAGCAGACAACAAGCCATTAACTTTCTAGATCACTATTTCTGATGTAGTGGTGCCTGCTACGGGGGGCTTAGGAGACCAAAGCAGGCCAATGGAGCGACTGCAGGCCGGCGTCAAACTACGGAAATTAATCAAGTTTCAAGATACATTGTCACCTGTGTTCCGAGGAGCACTCTTATCCCTCAGAGATATGTTGTCAACATATAATACTATAGTTCCTCAGTGATTACTAAAAGAAAAGACGCTCTCTGTTCAAGCCTATGCAGGTATTTTTGTTCTGCGTTACTAATTCTAAATAGTTGTAACCATGTTTTCCACATAATAACAGTTTGCAGTTGTCACATTCTGAAAGAAACTGTCTCTAGAATGTTTATGTAATTTTGCACAAGTTTTACATAAATCCCACGCATGACCATTATATTCTAATTCCTGTGCAATTTCTTACATTATCAATCTAAGGATACATTGTGAATTCCTGGCAGAAGACTGGTAAATGCCGGTTTTCGTCTTGTAATGCCCACGGAGGTATAGGAAGGATTTTTCTGTTATGAAGCGAGACATTTGGTGACCCCACATTACAGTTGAGATTCCTCATCATGTGGGATCAGAGCACCGATTGCTTCATTTTCGAAATCTTTATACTATAATTTCTTGGGCTGATTGTGCTTAAACTTTCCCGCGTCACTGCAGCAGCTGGAACCGCCTGGGGCCCGGGGGTGTCGGGGGCCCAGAGGATGACTCTCCTTTGAGTAATGTTGTGATTCTCACTTCTTGTTGAGCGTGATCGTTAGTGCAACGGTGTCTGTAGTATGCTACTCTTTTTCATTCAGAGCGTGACTAACAGTGTGTAGCCTAAATCTTGTGTGTGTGCGTCAGACAAACTGAAGATAGCTTAACCCAACTCCACCCCTTTCCCCTCTAACCCCGAAAAAAATAAATTTTGGATATAAACCAGTTCTTGCCAATTCCCTGTGTCACGTGGCTCTTTTCTCGACCCCCCCCCCCCCCCCCCGAGACTTTAATATAAGGCCACACTGTTTTATCAGTCTAGCAATTTATTTGTTCAGACCTTTCGATTTATTGTAGTCGACTGTAGTCGCTTATTAGGACAGTTTATTCAAGGAGACCTGCAAATTTAATCTTCATCCAAATAAAACGCTTGGTTTGGGCCACCAGCTCCTGTGCAGTAGGTTTTCTATCCTTCCTGGCTTCTGATGGGCTTCACCTCTCAGGCAACTTCCATTCTCCTTTCAAATATAGGACATGCAAAACTTACTCAGGACAAATGATACTCACCAGCGGTGGGAACAGAGGTACAGCCTTAGTCAAGGATAGAGACACACCACTGTAACATACTTTTTATATCACGGCCACTCCCCCCCCCCTCATCGTATATGACCCCAACCCTCAGCTTGTCTACCAGCTTCCTGTGTCATTCAAAGGGAGTCAGGACAGGAACAACCAGAATGGCCTGTTAAATTATCTCCCCAGCCAATTACTAAGTCTTCTCTGATTACTGCGTGCTTGGTCTGCTGTGATGCATACCGCTCTGTCTCTCTGTCACTTCACATATTCTTTTGCCCATTTGCCAGGGTCTTTTCCCCAGTATTTATAACCTATTGTCTAGTCCTGGGGAACAGTGTCGGCCTGATGTCATGGCGGTCATGGTCAGGCGACTTCACTGGCCACGATTAGGGCATCAAGTCATATCAAGGTGTCATTTCTATGTTAGGTTAGGTTAGGTTCCCCGAAGGGCCATTGCTACACATAAACCTTTACTGGAGCAGAACCCCCCCCCCCATTACTCAAATTGCATGTACAATGTGCTGTATAATGTGCAATTTGAACTTCCCTTCCACAGCCCACCATTACTACCATCGCCATAGTGATGCCCCACTGCAGGAGTCCATAATGTCTCAGTCAAATCGAAATCAAAGTAAGATCATAGGGATTATTTAGAAACGTTAGTCTTGTTGTGTTATCATTCCTCAGCCCTGATTCTTGTCTCGTGGGCTGATACACAAATCGCTAGATGCCCCCTGTGGAACACCGGCTATTACAGACACACTACCGTGCTCGCTGTGGAGCACAGACCCAAACCGCAAACCTGGGATAAACTCCAGGTTCTCCACAACCCTGTACTAGGTGGCTACTGAAAGATGGATGGATTAATTGGATGGATCCACAGATGGAAAAAGCCCAACATCATGTAACTGTGATCATGTAGTGTTTGCCACTCGATGCTTGACAGTGTTAGGAAATAACATGCCGGTAAATAATGTTCTCTAAGTTGTCAAGGTCTGTCCTGGAACAACAACCAAGTGAAGAGTGGAAGAAAACAAACTATGTGTGCTTGACATTGGCTGATAACATTTCCTTAGAGAAAAATGGTCAGAGTTGTGGCCATTGAGAAGATACATGTCAGAGGTGGACTGGATATTGATTTCTAACAGTCCCATGATTCAATCCAAATGGCTTTACTCAGTGCATTAGAGAATTAACTGATACGGATTAACTGAAAAGGTGAACAGGAAAAAAGAAGATGCCATTCTCAAACTAACCAGCAATCCATCATCGGAGACAGGACTTTAGGTAGCAACACACAGCTCGTGGAGTTTTTGGTTCAGAGATATAATCAATGAGATTGTAGAGGAGGTGGGTCCAAGCAACTAAAGGAGGCGGGACCAAGGCAACTTGTTGCTTGGACCCGATTCTTCTACAATGGGATTGGTTATCTCTCTGAACCAATCATTTTTCCTTCTGCCCTCAGAACATTTTTGTGTAAGTAAAACTCGTATGAGCCAACTGATGCTGCTACTGGTAAACTGGCCTCATGTGGAAGGTGTTTGGCACTGTAATTATGTTCGTACTGGCATGGTAAATCCACATAACAACTAACTGGCTCATATGCACATTTCTGAAGCTCGTGTTGATGATGATCCAGCAGAATGAATGACAGGGAGTGTGGGAGATATCACCTTCCCCCAGTTTTCTGTTCTGATCAGAACTGTTCATTCACTCTTCATAGTTGTTTGATGATAAATGCTTTATTTGCCACTTGCACAAGTACAGGTACACTGGAGCGCTTCTCTTCGCCTACCCCATCTTGCTCTCCATAGCTTGGGGGGGTCACAGCACAGGGTCAGCCAATGTGCAGCGCCCCCCGGAGCTGGGGGTTAAGGGCCTTCTCAAAGGCCCACAGTCATATGACTGTTCTGCTGAGGCCGGGGCTCAAGCCAGCGATCTTCTGATCACGGGAACAGAGACTCAGCCCGCTGAGCTGCCCCAGTGCATCATGGTCATATCACCCGGGAAGGATCACATTCTATTGATTCAGTGGAAATGCGCGGTAAATTACAAGGTTACCTGGCACTTGGTGATACTTCACTGGCTACATTTCAGCCATATACTAAGTACTTCTCTATAACATTTGTGGGCCCAAGACGTATAGGTATATGTGCTGAATATGACATGTTTAACAAGAGCACTCTCTGTCCCTAGTTTTCTCTGTCCACTCACCAGCTCAGGTAGCAATTGCAGTATGAATGACGACCTCAATTGGGTATTGAACCCAATTTCCACACAAAGCATCCTATTCTAAGATTCCTTTTGTCTTCAGTGAGCTTCAGCACCGGTTTCTTTCTGCTGGCAGAAGTACACGTGCTCCTCATACTGTCAGGCACAACGTTAAAGTCAAGGGACAATACTGAGAGTACGAGCTTTTCAAACTTCTGGATGGCAGGATTTAAGTTTCACTAAAAATTGATTATTGGTTGATCCCACGTGGCTTAAAGCAGTTGGCGATTAATAGCTCATGCTAATCCCACCTTCTGTAGGTTTAAAAATCTCTATTTTTCCCAATGACTAGGTAATGGAACCAAGTCTGAGCTAGCATATCAAAATGCTCCATCAAAAAGCATTGTAACGCATAGCCGGCGAAGCTATCCATCTGTAATTAAATTATGATAACGGTGTTTAGCCGTTTCCATGGGAACTTTGCTCTTTAACAGAGTGGTTAAATATGTCAAGTTCCAGCGATTTAGTGCACTAGAAATAGAGGGATGGAGAGGAGAGGAGAGACACGATGGAGGGGAGTAAGAGCACTAAAGCGAGTGAGTCAGAGAGTGCAGGACTGATTCACCATGCTGGCAGGGACGTGCTGAATCACTTTTGAGGCTTTGGGTTTTTCCTCTGATCTTTTCTGCCTGAATTTGTGGGAGATCAAGGCGTCGGAATGTGACTTAGCTCCGATAAACTGCAGCTTTGATCCGATTTTCTATTCCGTATTTTCCGCCTGATTTTTTTGTCTTCAAATGTTGTCAGGCGTTTAGCGTTATTTATTTTTTTTAATCCTTCCCTTCATTTTAGCTCCTCCTTCCCACACTGCATTTTCTTTTTGTCACTAACTGTTCCTTTCAACATTTGAAAAGTTGATGATTCAAATTTACAGTGCACTGCACGCTGACAGCTACTGCGGTGACGAGACTCATGACTCACGGATTCGCTGCAGACTTGCAGTGAACCATCACTTTGGAAAAATAACACAGGTGTAATAGCTGTCTAAATTTTACAGGAGATGCTACTGTATAAGATTTTGCTTGACAGAATCAAGGTCAAAGCTCACCCAATGCCTCTGGATCCTGTCGGCACCACATCCGACGCTGTGCAGTGATTATAACTCCTGTATGAGGTTTGTGGATTATGGAAAACTCAGATGCCAAATACTGTTGGATTTCCCACCCTGCTGTCACTATTTAGCTTCTCAGTGGAAGACTTTTATCCAAACCTAAAATTGTACCGGTTCACATATATGAGTGAGCGCATGCACTCAGGTGTACTGTGGCGCTGAAAACATTATGAACCGCTTAGAATTATCTACAGTAGATTTCTGTGTGAATGATTCCTAAAAGTTGATCTGATCTTCATCTAAGTCATAACAAGACAGTCTTCA